CATTTACGACGAATGACATTCGTGTGATCAACGAATCGGCTCGCGATGTGTCGCGCGTGGAACGCACCACGCTCGGAGTGTGGCGGGCTGACTGGCCGATCGTTCAAATGTCATTCGTTGTAAATGGCATTCGAGTTGCCCGTGCGGCACGGGCATTAGTTTTCCCTAGCGTAATTTTGTTTACCGTTTTGTTGTCATGATCTGTCTGGTGCGTGCTGAATGCCAGTATTCCGAATATTCACACGACACTCTCAAATCGGTAGTGGACATAAACTTGCTTTATTACGTATCCCTTTTTTTTTTTCTTCTGATAATTAAAACGTTTTCTCACTCACTCCAACAACAAAATGGCGGATTGACGTCATGTTAAAGCACCCTACTTATCAACGTTATTGGAGCAAGCTCAGTTTCGCAGCTCCGCCTGCGACGTGGGCTCAGTGGCGGTCACGGTAACTAGCAGCGCTGCAGTCGAGTCTTACTTCCGGATTGTCTAGCCCGCCAAATTTGAATAGCAGTAGCTGAGCTTGGGCGAGTTGGTGATTCAAACTAACACTTCACAGCGCAAGGAAACAGACGCACACAAAAATAAATTTCAAACACTCAAAGAAAAAACTCTCACACAGTGCTGACTCTCAACTCCGCCGTGTATTACACTTCATCTTCATCATCTTTTTTTTTTTTCGCTATTATACACATAAACGTAAAAAAAAAAAAAGAATAAAAATGAAAAGGAAGCTCTTAACGCGGTGGTTGCAGACGACGCACGAGACAGGGAAGTAAGAATCGACTGCAGCGCCGCTAGTTCTCGTGACCGCCACCAGGGCCGCTTGCCTCCGCAGGCTGAGATGTTTCGGTGGCGCCCTCTTATGATTTCTCTCCGTGACGTCACGACTGGGATTTGCCTCGCCGTGACGTCACCTGTTGTTATTTTGGCTACTTACTATCGGCTGCGACGACAAGTTCGATGGTGTGTTTAAAAAGCACGGTAGAAGCTAGGAGCCATCGCGATCCGAAACTAACACCGTCAAAGTTGACAATCTGACAGTGTTCATATGCCCATGGTTTGGCCAATCGTGGAAAGCTGATCACAGCGACGCTTTTGGCCGCGCACATCGCTAAACTGAGCTTGCTCCAGTAACGTTGCTATTCACTATCGGGCCAATGTGGCGCTCTTGGGCAGGTCGTGCCGTGCCATGTGCCAGTTCAACGCACAACGCTCGGGTTTCAGCAGGCAAGCATCGGACTCAAATGGTTTGCCCCGATTTTTATTCGCTACGTTTCAAACCTATACGGCGATGAGCTGGCGTAAGCGAGCTTCCAGATGTTTTACCTTCGGGCAAGCGATGGAAGGACAGGTGGCAGACATCATGTGCGAATTATTGTAAAGTTCTCACGCATAGCGCTCGCTCTGTAAAACGGCTGTGTACGTGGGCGCCCGCTAATTCTAGCAATTAGGTGTTCTTTTGTTTTGTTTTGTTTTTTTTACAGCGGAGCTGTTAAGGGCTAGTTTCCCCAGGATCGTGTCCTTCGCAAAGAAGCGAAGACACCCAACCCTGGACACCTGCCACCCTCTATGAGCGACGGCGGCAAGCCACGTATCTGGTAGCCGCCGTCGCTCATAGATGGCGGCAGCCTTTCCACTCTGGCTTGCCGACTTGATTACTGTCCATTGTACAGCTCCGCTGGTTTTCCTTTTTCAACAAATTAAGCTGACACGCAAATGGCTCGGCGCACCTAAACGTGTTTGTAACAGTCTCGGATAAAATTTGGATCTCGCACACCGGCTCCCCTGCGTTTTCGCACTTTCCACCAAATGTATCAACACTAAACTGTCTGAGCTGTCCTTATCTTTGTGCTTTACTGCCAGCTCGACTGTCCTTCGAGGTATGCGCAACTTTCGCGGGCTCGCTTTACTGCGAACGTTCTATCCTCACCAAGCTTACTGGTCCAAAAGTAATTTAAATAATTACGTAACGTATGACTTGGGCTGCTCAAAATCAAGGCGTAATCGTTTATCCTGAATTCCGCACACCATCTCGGCAAGACGACCAAAGCCCAACGTTGACCAAAGCCAACGTAAGCGCTGCTTCTTTTTCCTCTTCTCTCGAATACCGGAAAGAGGAAGTCGGCGGTCCCAGCTGCGAGTAACGGTTATGGCGTCGTCCGAAGCGCTGTTCCAGACGCTTCCCAAACGCACACAGGATCACGACGGTGCAGGGCCCATTGCGAAAATGACCGCTTGCTGCAAAGACTTGTATTTGTCGTCTGATGCTTGGGAGAACTTGTATAACGGTCACGACGGCCTCAAATGTCTATCGCTATTGCGACGGCGGTAAACCTGCTGTATTGTCTTTAACCACAGTACTGGAAAGCTGCTGGCTGTCCAGCACGGTACATCGGTTAAACGCCCCATATTGCCGCGCGCGCAGCTAGCCGAGAAGGCAGCGCGCCCGTGGCCGAATGGTTATCGTAAGCACAGTGAGGGAGCAGGTGAGCTGGTGTAAGTTTACCGTTATGCTTAAACACCTGAGGCTGGGTGTGAAAGAATCTTGAAACGTTGAACTGAGACGTCGTCTAACTTTTTTTCCTGTCTCATCTACTTTTGGTTGTTTCAATGTTGTTTTTTTCTCCACATCCACTCTCGGGTGTTTTAAAATAATAGTTATCGTGCCTGGCTCCCACGCAAAGGGCCGAGGTTCGATGCCTGGGAGCGGACGCACCTTTTCGTTATTTCTGTAAATGTTGCGTTCTGGTGTATATTCGAGAATTCTCTTGCTTATGCAAGCTCCGAATGTCCTATACGCGCCGAACCTTCTGTGCCGGTTGTTTCAGAAGCCCGCGCGTGTAAGCACATAGGGAGCTCCGCGTGGCGAACCGGAGTCAGTCTCGCCCCAGCGCTCGATCCTGTTGTTTCACCGACATCGACGCCTCATCATTTGTCATTCGTGACAATATCTTCTCGTATGTAGCTTTCAGTGGGTGGAGCGGATATGGGACTACAAACGGAACGTTGCGCACGACTACTCTCAAAGCGCGAACCACTTCATTTTGTTAGCGACTTTTAGCAAACCGTTACCGCGTTCCGCGTACTGCACTAAACAGAGGGGCGCGCGCTTAAAAGCATGCTTTAGAGGCTCCAGTAGTGCGGTACCCGAAACATGGTAACGGTTTTCCAAAAGCCCCTAACTACTGAACTCTTTGTACGTTACAGTACTTTCAAAAGATAGCTTTATATGGGAATCCAGCAAGGGGGGTGCTTGGTCGTGTTAGTGTTGGTCGCGCTGTAGCAAGGTCATGGGAGAGTCAAGGAAGAGAGTGCCACCGACAGAGCGCAGCTGTTGGAGTAACGTCATAGAGAGCGCGACCAATGGCGTTGTGCCGGGCAGGGTGTGCGTGAGTATTTGGGGAGAAGGGGGAGTAATTAGGGAGTTTTCCTAGACCGCGTTTCCTCCTCCGCTAAGCCCTCCGCAACGAAGAAGCCGCTACTGCCCCTGCGCGCCGATAGCCTTGGCTGTACAGTTCCGGGCATCGTTGCGGGTTGCGGAGAGCCGCTGCGGGACGGCAAAAACGACCTACGGAAACTCCCTATTGGCGCGCTAACGCTTCCCTCTCTTTCTCCCCCTCCCCTCTATTGAGTGGGAATGGGGCTGCGCAGAAGGGTAGGAACTGCGTATTACTAGTAGCAAAATCTATACTCGCATACGCCTCAAAAACCATAGAAAAAAATAGAAAAAAAGTTCGGCTTTTTACGGAACGCTAATGCCCCCCTTTATGCGTTAAGATATATGCACGTGCATCTTCGGTTAGCTGTTATTTTATTAGGGCGTACACGTTTCAAGAGCCAAAAACATCGCTTTAAATAAAAATAAGAAAACAAAACCTTGTATAAACTACTTCGCGCGGCGCACGAATAATGCGCATCAGGCGCGGTACCCCCATCAGGTACTATCGAGCTTTTGTTGCATTTGACAGAATGACTATCAGGCGACCTTTTTATAGTTTTGTACACTCAATTCTCTAATCTGCTCTTCTGGTCAGGTTTCACGACATGTGCGTTAGAACGATATTCTTAAAAAGAGACAGCTCGATGACGGATCTTTCCGATTCTATCTACGTAACAGTTCATTAACCAAGCGAAGTAGTACTATACCTCTCTTCACCGGAAGGGTCGTGGCTCTGCAGTCACGTTCCTATTAGAGAACACGACAATGGGTCGCGTGCTCGAACCTCAGAGCCGCTTCCTTCAATTACCGTAAATCAAAAAAAAAAAAAAAAAAAAAAAAAAGATGGTTGTGGCTTGTTTTTGTCACCTTGGCATCACTGTGATGTCTCCTGTTTGGGAGAAGAAACGTCTAATCAAACTGTTATTCTTGTGATTCTCTACAAATTAACTATAAGAGTAATACAAACTTTCTATGGAGAGGTTTGCACCACCCGCCGGTCTAAATCCCAATCCCACTGGGGGCCTAACTACCTACGGTACTAGTTTCTTTTCACAATTGCTGCGAACCCTCTTGGGCCACCTCATTTCTGTCAGAAATTTCGAAGACATTTTTTTTTTTTGGTCACGATCACGAGCCCTTTTCTTTCTATCACGGCGATTCAGTGCGAGTGACACTGGTCAAGAAGTTTCCCTGCCCATTGCAGTAGTTCTTGAGGCCACCAAGGCGCGATTGTTCAATATATTTGTTTGTGTTTTCGCCAGAAATGTCAGCCTCTGCCTTTTTTTCCTTCTCTGTGACTATAGTCGACGACAGGAATGAGGGCGAGACCGACAGGGCTTCTCTTCCAAATGCCCAGCCTCCGGGACGCACCCGTGGCCGTCCTTCGTGCTTTGGCTGCGCGTGCACGCTTTAGGCTCACGAGACGCCGAAGCACCATCAAAAGCAGGAAGCTCGCGCTAGAGGCGGAAAACTGAAGGACCTCCCTTCCATTCTAATCCCGTCACTGACTATAGTCGTGAGCTCACGATGTGTTTGTCCACGCGTGCGCGTTTGCAGGTGTCCACGGCTGCAGAACCGGCCGACACTCATGTGCGATATCATCGAGGACAAGAGGCTCCCTTTCCCGGCCTGCTGTCCCCGCATGATCTGCCAGAGGCACAAGAAGCAGCCTCCCCCGACGCAAACCAAGCTCAAGCCCTTCACGCCGCACGCCACTGTCGACAAGGAGCTCAGGAAGATACCCTTCGTGCTCAAGAGGCGAGTAGTTGCTTTATAGAAAGGGGAGATCACTCAAAATTAGGCTGATGACCCCAGCTGTGAAGTCGTAAATTGTCTTCTATTACTTCTTTTATATTTTCTGTAGAGGAAGCTCTAGTTGGAATTAAGAGTAGTCAACTTCCGTCACCAGCTGATTTTGCAGAGTGACGAATGTTCACCCCTCCCTGCGTCGGCTCCACAACTTCCGTGTCCGTGCCGCAGCTAGAGCGAAAGGATCGACGTCATGGGTGCTCTCTACTCCTCGCACCGTAGCGCACCACTATGCATATTTAATCGAAATTTCGCATCACGGCTACACCCATAATGGATTCCAGCCTCAATTCTCCAACTACATTATGCCCCAAAATAAAAACGTTAAACGTTTGAGTTCTTTTTTTTTTTTTTTTACAGAAGCTAGTTAATTATCTAATTGTGCCTCGTTTTTAGAGGCCCCCATGACCCCCAACTTAGCCCCGGGGCTAAAGTTAGAGCCATGTTTTTTTATCGATTCTAGTGTTCGTCGAATCCTCTTCCTAATGGCATTCGGCTCTCACGAGTAACACACACTCTCCTAATAAAGAGTTAGGTGATACTCCCAAGGCTCGTTCACACTCTTGCAACCGAGTACGACAGAGAGAGACCAGACCGGTTTTTAAGCCTCTTGCGATCTCTTAGGACCAGCTCCGCTGTAGCGCATCCGGTCCTAAGAAGTCGCAAAAGGCTTAAAAACCGGTCTGGTCGCTCTCGGTCTTACTGGGTCGCAAGAGTGTGAACGGGACTTTATTTCGGTTGCATATGTGTAAACGGCGCGTAAAACACGTGCCCATAACTTGGCAAAGGGCGAACGCTATGCTTTCGAGGACTAATCTGTAACGGTGCGTAGCACAGAACAGCTAAGCACAGGAGGGTGCCCTCCGATGGCCTGTTGCCACGTGCCATGCTCGGACGGTCTGGTTCGCTGGGATCGTGGCTCTCGCCGCTAGCACCTAATAATCAAAACTAAGTGCATATGCTGAGCAAGGTGTATCTCTGACAGAGGGTTCAATATTCTGTGAAAATTAACATCTAAAACGAAAGAGGCTTAGACTCAAATACAGCCCAGATCACATTTTATGAGAAACGAAAAAAAAAAAAAAAAGTCATACACCAACGCGGGACTTCGACGTCATGCTGCTGCGGTGGCGCTGCCATCACGCGAATCTGGCCGTTGGGAATACGCCGACTTGTTGTAAACAGCATGTTGGTTTAATGGTTTCTAATGTCCAATACTATTAAGCGCTGTTCACATATATGCGACCGAGAGACCAGACAGGTTTTTAAGCCTCTTCGACGTCTTAGGACCGGATGCGCTGCAGCGGAGCTGGTCCTAAGACATCGCAAGAGGCTTAAAAACCGGTCTGGTCTCTCTGTCTTACTCGGTCGCAAGAATGTGAACAAGCCTTTATGCTCATAGTGTTTCGTGCAAGAAAAGTGCAGATACACAAGGCGAAATATTGCATTTAATTTTTTCTCGTTTCTAGGTTCCTTGAAGTTCAAAACACAACCCTGCTCGACGCCATCATCCTGAACCGGATCAAAGCATTAGAGGCAGCCGCGAATGCCAGCGTCGTTTACATGGGACAAACATTCAACATGTCCTTCAATGGCTCTTCTGACGTCGATGGCTTCTCAGAGGCTGCCCTCACAACGGAAGGACCAGGAACCACGACACAGGACACCACGCCTTTCGCCACAACAGAAGACACTGTCACGACTCCATCGCCGACACCGTCGACCACAGCCCAAACTGTGCAGGTAACGACCACCACTACAGAGGCCCCGGTCGTAATCCTCAACGGAAGCGGATTCCAAAGCGAGTCCCTGGAGTTCCAGCCACGCCAGAATGTATCCATAGACGACGATGAACTGTCCTTCCTCAACGATGCCCCGCTGGTTCCGGCCGACGACACCACACCACCGAGTCAGCCGGAAACTGCAAAGACCACTACCGTTGAGAAAACAACATCAGAGACGGCCACAACCAGGCCCGACGTTGTTCCGGTGACATCTGCTATCAAGGTCACGACAGAAGTTACGGAATCTGTCCCAGCGAGTCCAACTGAACATACTACAACCACAGAAGTGCACGACACAACCAGGACCGTCGCCCTCACGGTGCCAGAGTCGATATTCCACACGACGATCCTGCCTTCCACAGAGCCACCTACAACCACCACCGCTGCCCCCGTGCAAGACGAGCTCAAGACGAAGTCCACTCCTGGTGGAAAGAAGGACTCGAACTTGCCCACTATCCTGAGGTCTCTGGTGGACAATGTCTTCGACTACTACGACTACATCGACTACTACGTCCCAGGTCAGAAGAGAAACGCATCATCTACACAAGAGAAGGAAGCAGGTGCCGTGGAACGAAGGAAGATTCCCGAGTCCATGATGGAGCTAGTGAAGGAGCAGCTCACCAAGCAGACAACCAGGAATGAGACCGTTGCAACCGACGGCAACGAGGAGCTTCCGCAGGGGGACCAGCCATCCAGTGAGGAGCCAGAGACTACTACCGCAGACCCCGATGACCAGGAACTCCAGAAGGAGCTTGTAACCAAGGTGGAAGTTGACCTTCATCGCGTGCCAAAGCTGGGCTCGCAGGAAGACAGCACTAGGGCACCAGCGACTACGGCGACCACCGCGGTGACACAAGCGACAACCACGAAGGCTGTACCTATCACAACCGAGACTACCAAGGCTTCTGAAAGGCCCGTTTCAACCACAGCTACCGAGCAGCAGGTAAGGACTGAACAAACGACGGAGGCTTCAATCAATCTCGTCAAAAGCGCAGGTGCCGAACAACCCAGGAGGGGCATAAACCTGTTGATTGAAAACCTGGCGGCTCCAGAGCCGGAGCAAAGCTCCACGACTGGAGCTACAACAGCAAGCTCCATAACCACACAAGCCCCAACCACTATAACTACAACAACCCAAGCTCCACAGACGCCAGCATCTACAACGCAGGAAGCAACCACGGCAACGCCCACAACACCAGAAGCAACGGAGCCCCCCGCAACCCCACGGGCATCAACGACGACAACGGTGGCCCCTACAACCAGACCAGCAACCACGCTAGCAATTAGAACCGTCCCCTTTGAAGTCGTCACCACGAATGCACCCCGAACAACTCAAACAGCTGTCACAACTCAGACCCCGTCATCAACGACAGTTCCTCCCACAACCACCACTTCGCCGGCTACTTCCGCGCCTACAACGCCAAAACCAACCAGCCATCGTGCCGAAACAGATGCTACCATAACCGAGGTTCAAAGTACACAGACAAACGCACCCACATCATCTGGAACCCCAACGACATCTGCACCAACCAATGCACCGTCCACCGGAGATGTGCTCATAACCAAGACTGCTCCCCCACTTTCAAGTGAATCCCTCATAGCTGACCGACGAAATGCAACGGTCACACCGCTGCTAACCACACCAGAAGCAACGACTGTTGGTGTCACGACATCCACGACGACACCGGCTCCCTCGACAGTGAAGCTGACAACGCAGCAAGCCAAGCAGTCCGCCGCCACGGGCTCGAACCTCAAAACTGAGAGGACCCAGAAGACTGTCAACGGGACTACCAAGTCACCAAATGCGCCGTCGCAAAACAATGACGTCGAGTACATCGACTACGTGTACTACTACGACTATGTTGACATTCCGGACAACTCGACGACCAATGGAACAAGCTCGTCCAGAAACAGCACGGGTGTACAGCCGACCCAGCTTAAACAGAATGTGACCCAGTGAGCTTCTACGTGCAAGGTATAGAAGAAGCGCCATCGAAAGAAACAAACTCTGGATGATGTTCTTGATTGCTTGATCTATTTAAGACCTTGGATGGGCTAAAAGCAGCACAGAGGGAGCAACTGCTTTGAAAGAGAATGTGATGGTGGCAGAGAACTGTGTGTAGTCAACTGCCAGTGGATATGGTGAATAGGCTGCAGACCTGGGGGATTTGGGTCTTTAGATATCTGGCACTGTGCTTGACGTGCCGGTCAGAAGAGGGCTCCAGCAAAAGTTGCGCAGTGGGGGAGGTTTCATGATGCGATTAGTGGTGCCTCCTCCTGATGGTCCTTAGGTTTTTTCCTGTTCTTTTCCTTCTACAAATAGTGTGTATACCTCAAAATGTTATTACTGTCAGAGCCAGACGTGCTGATCCTCGACAGTGGTATGTGATCACGAGACAAGACCAACCAACCCGATCGGTAGTCATGGAAAGTGGCCTTCCCTGAAAAGTGGCAGATGGCCACTTCTATCATACTTGCTGCCTTGCCTTGAACTACTTTGATAGACAACCTATTGTTCACGTTAAAGAATTGCCCACCCAGACATCTAAACACTTTCCATGATGATGCAGTCGCTAGTAGCATTTCAACATAGGGATGCCAATGTGTTGCAGTCTAAATTTCTGCAACATCTTTGCACTTGGAGTACTGCAATTGCGGATGTAAAGCCTTTTTAACCATTGATTACACCAAGTTACAGCTTCAAGGGTTTAAGAGAGCACAGATGAGAGGAATGGTGAAAGCTAGACAAAGTTGTTTCTATTTCCTGGAGTAAATGCAAGAGAGATTACTATCCTCAAAACTGCATTTACTAGCAATGACGTAGAGCTATTCACAATTTTCTGTTGGATACTCTGTCTGTACTTCGTGCAACAGTAGTACTTGCATGAATCACGTGATGCAAAAAGCAGGTATCATCTGTGCTCTGGATTTTGTAATATAATGCAAGCAGCCCCAAGTCCTTGCTTGGAACTTGACACAGAAGTGTTGTTGATGTCATATTATAAATAAAATGTTGTTACGCATTCCTTGTTTTGAAGTGCAGTCAAGACGACAGATAAAATTACCCGCAACACACTGCAGACTGCTCTTTTTCAACATTTAATTCGAAGTATAAAAACTTCATAACATGTATAAACACATTCAAAACAATCCTTCGGATACATATTTCCATACAGATGAGTTGACGACAATGTGAGCAGACAGTGAACATCCATTTGCCATTCCTCCGAATTCTATAAATTGCACAGGCCTACAGTCTGCAAGCTATAGAAAACCTTTATTAGAAACATCTATTCTATAGTTCTGTATATATGACACATCAAAATACAGTTTTATTGAGATGCATGCAACTTTAGGGGAAACTGTAATACTGTCTCAAAACACAAACACAAAGATAGCAGAAGACACTTGAGGAAACTCGGAAAAGAAGCCTCTAGGAGAGCCTCATAACTGCAGTAAAAAGAATGATGGCTAACATTCTGAATTACTTCAGGAGGCTTCATTTTGAATATTACCTCAACTATAACAAAATGTCTTGGCAGTATAACATGCACAGAAAGCTACTGATCTAGAATTATGCACCTCTAAACACAACACCTCCATATCTAAACCTTGAAAAGCATGACTAGCCTAACTGTAACACCTGAAGTATGAAGTACAGTTAGACAGTTTTTTTACGAACACGTTAAAAACTGATAGCCAAGCTGTAGTCAGTATGACCACAGATCGTAAATCGAAGAAAATCTACCCGTATGTATATTAATCCCTTAACCGTATAAAGAGCAAGGTTTGTTTGCTTTTCCCAAAGCCGCCCCCAAATGGTTTTTCTTTCCCCGGTTCACACACTCAACCATTTTGGATGAACCAGGCTCACTCATGGCTTAGTCTGCAACTGCGCCAAAAGATGGCAACACTGAAATTAAAAAAAATAAAAAATAAAAACTTTTTTTCCCATTTTGTTTGTGGCTAGAAATTTGATTTTGAAGGCACCAAATGTAATTTTAACGACAACAATTAAGCGGCTAAGGGTCAGAAATTCCCATAAACTAAATATGGTTAAGGGGTTAAAAATAAAGCTTCACACGACAGAGAAACTGGACCTCTAAACATGGCATGGACGAACCTAACGGTCAGATGATATGCACTGGTACGAGTCAATCACCGACACCTCTTGCCTCCAAAAGTGCCAGGAAAGTGTAACTTATTTTTCAGTCAGCACTGCAGGTATAAATGAGAAATATAAGGTATGACACATCTTAAAAACCAGAGTAAAACCAGAGAAGACCAATATACATTTTTCTCCCCTCCTTCCTTTCCAACTTTTTGCCAAGTGCCGATCAAATTCTACAGTAATCCCCATAAAATATAACTATGGGATTCCCTTACAGTTCGATAGGGGCCGCAGGAATCAATCAAGATCACCCAGGGTTCCCAATTCAGGAGAGGAGTGAAAGGATAAACTGAGAAAAGAAATGGAAAATTATTTTCCGCCTTGCCGAAGAAAATGTGTGCATCAGACTTTAATTTACTAGGGTTAATCGCCATCAACAAGACGGCCAAATAAAAGTGTCACGCCAAGAGCCTCAAGAAATTAAATCCTTTTAAGCACAGAAGTTTACCAAAAAGTGCACTAGGGTTTAATAAAGGCACTAATGTACAGTAGCATGGTACGTATATCTACAGGGAAATATGTTCAATGTGGTAGTGTTGCAAAAAGAAATGGCAACTTTCCACAGCACCCACAGGCGAAGCTCCGAGTGTTCCGAGCACCGGAACCAGTATTCAACAGACCATATAGTTGACAAGATAACAAACATTGTAAACAACAAGTAAATCAATCTTAGGAACAATGCAGACTTAGAGGCATGGAAATAACAACCCTCTTAGATGAGTTTATCTGTGCTGCTCTGGTACACAACCAAGCACAGATCACTGAGCAACAGTCGGTAACAGGGGCACCAAACGATGCTGAAAACAGCGAGCAGTGGAGACTTGGACAACTGCGCGGCGGTATGTGACTGGAGGCGGTAACTGTAAAACGGTAGTTGCCAAGCTTTAGCCGTAGTCAGACCTCAAACCTATTCCACAACCTATGAACATACGGAAGACGCGTAACTTTCTTCGCTTAACCTCTCTTGACAGTGCTGGAGTACAACATTCGAGGTAAGTTGGGTAAGGATTCAGAGCATACTGCCGCTGCATCCTGGTTTAGTAGGGCTGTTATGTATGCATCGACTACTGGAACAAAATGTTCAGTTGGGCTAGTACGTTCATGACTGGATAGAAGCGTCGAAGGACAGGGACAAAATGAAGTAACAACAACACGGAGTGCTCCCTGTTGTCGTTACCACCTTGACTTTGTCCCTGCTCTTTGGTGCTTCTATTTATCCATCCATTACTGGACATGGGTACAAAGTCATTAGGACTGTAGTATGAGCCGTGCTTGAAAGCCGTATTTTGAAATGTTTTGAAGTAGCAGCCATTGTGCTGCCATGCCATCTTTCAATGAGGCTGTTTCCTTGAACTGTACCTCAAATATCTTTACCAGAGTCTTTTTAATATACTACAAGGTATGGAAAGACTGTGGAACAAGGCTACATCTGACACAACGACATCATAATAACTTTGTGTCTCATCCAAAGTTATCAAACCGAAACTGAAAACCGCACGACATATTTAAATTGCAACAAAGGCCCCCACCAATGTTTGTATGCACGCTTACTTCAATGTGGACAACATCCCTTCGGTTATGAACAGAGCTATGGCCTCTTCAGCTCTGTAACAGCGCATCACAGTAATGCTTAGATTGCTAACCAAGAAGGTTAGATGAATAGAACTGGATTGTACATACCTCATAAATGACAAAATGCCTGGCAAAAATATGTCGCACTAAAACTACTTCCACATGTCGCAGACATAAGATTCCGACGGGTGCAATATTAGAGTGTGGGCAAGATCAGATGACTGATCTCGCCCGTGGTTCGCCACTCTAAGATGGATGCCCTGGAGATTGCACCATAATTTCCCTCATGGGATGCTGGCTCCTTGACCATTGGACCTCCTTGGTACCAACAAGTGCAAATTACAAAGTTTTAGTTATGTGGAGCTTACAAAAAACAATAGAGACCTGACACTGCAAAATAAACAACCAAAATACAAATGGCACTTCCTCACCTAATACAGGTGCGTCAGCTATTATAAGTTCAGGAAAATCCAGACCATATGATACGCCCTCTTTTTGTTTTTAAAATTGCTTCAGCGTGCACCTGGGTAACTCAGAGCAGGTGCATAAGAAACAGTTAAAGGGAGTAGAACCACCCGCGGCATTTCCGTTCGATGCTTGGATGCTGGAACTGGCGCCGAAGTCACACGTTTTTTACTAGGTGAAAACTAGCTCGGCAACCATTTCTTTTCTTCATCAGAAGCTGCTCGGATCACGATGCACCATGCAATTCGAGAGTGTGACTACAGTATAGAGTGTACATCGCACCCCAAAGAAATTATAAGCGTGTCGTCGAGCCAAACAATGAACCTAATACCATGACGAGCCAATCCACCAAACAAGCTCTGGCTACCGATTCGCCTAATGATTGGCCGACACAAGCCCAAGCTTTGAAAAACTGAGCGACGAATTGTCGAGATCCGGCTTGCCTGGCTATCGAAATAGGCTCGGAAAATTCTCAAACTTTCAATGCTGAGAACATGGGTGCCTGTAGGTGACTGCCAAGCACCTGACAAGTGCCCACTAAAGCAACTTTAAAAACACAAAGGAGCTCAACATAGTTTGAGCTTAAAGCACCTTGCAAGGCATCGCAAGTGCATACGTTTGAAAGACAGAAGTATCACTCTTTACTTCTTTTAACCTCGAGAGCCGTAGTAAAAAGATGTCCAACTCCTTCCAAAGCATTACTAATGCCGCCCCTTTATGTGGCTAATACAAATATTTCTATACGCATTTAAGTTTAGATATTTCTTATTTTATCGAAACATATATACTAGGTTTCAAATGCAGAAAAGATTGTTGCTTTCTCAAACAACCAAATCTCGAAAAAAAAAAAAAAAAAAAAATTTAGTGGGGAAACTTTTTTTGTTAAATTTGGCGGTAAATCTTTCAGCTAAATTCAGCAGGAATATTTCCCCGCTAAATTTAGCGAAAAAATGTTCCCGCTAAATTTAGCAGAAAAATTTAATGCCAAATTTAGCGGAAAAATTTTACCGCCAAATCTAGCGGGAAAATTTCACCCTCGTGACGTCACACGTGACATCATTATGGGAAAGTCCCATAATGCAACGCGCGGTTACGCCGACAGGCACCTAAGAGCTGCGCTCTAAAAGAAACATCCGGTTAAGCAGTATTTATCTGAGAAGTGACCCGTTCTTTCGTAAAACCCCGAACACTCCCTATGAAAGATGATGTCCAACAGGCTCCAGAATACATCCAGTTTGGAGAAAATCATTGCCAGTGAAGATGGCCTCGATATTCGAGGGCCACATCTGCAAACTCTTCATACACAAACCCCGCTCCTGCTAATGTTCACAAATATTGTAAAAATCCGGTCGGTTACACAACCCCGAGTTCCCCTCAACCCCGGCAGACTTCTCCAGATAACAGAGCAACCAACGAATATTCTGCTAGACTCCACGAAGAGCATATACCATACTCTCTCGCCTCGTACGTCCACAGTCCCTAAACTATCTCAACGTCCCTGCAGAGTTTCCTTCAAACAAAAACTGCAATTTCCCAAAACAGTCTAGACATTTTTCTCGTCTAGGACAAAACAATCCCCAGATCGCACTACCTCCAGCGCCCTCTCAGAATTCCCCACTCCCCATAGTCCATTTTCGGTTTCGCACTAAGTGCCTCGGAGTCAATCTATGCTGAGCGAGCGGTCGGGTTTCTTGAGCGTGCTGAGAAACTTGTACACGTGGGGCCAGATCTCCTTTGACTTTGTGCCGTGAAACTCGTGCAACAGACCCTTCTTGTCGTAGAACGCGAGCACGGGCTCCGTCAGGGTGCGGTAGGCCTCTAGACGCGCTTTCACCGTCTCGGGCTTGTCGTCCGCACGCTGTTCGAGCGGCTCCCCCGTCTCGTCGTCCTTGAAGGGGACCTTGGGCGGGTTGAAGTCGACGTGGTACGTGCGCCCGCTGGCCGCGTGGATCCAACGTCCGGCTATCCGCCGTGTGATCTCGTCTTCGGGCACGGCCAGGTTCAGCACGCAGCTGAGTGGTGTCGTCTGTTGCCGCGGGAAGGAAACGCGTGCGAGCGGGTTTGCAGCTGCATTATTTTACTTAAAGGGGCACTGAAGTCGATCTTAAGATCGTCCTTTTGTGGCGACAACTCAATCTAGACGCTCTAAGCATCTGAACAAACTCGAAATCACAATCGTGCGTAGCTTATTTCCTCGTTGAAAACGTGTCCAAAATCGCGACATGCCCTTTTTGGGAAGCATTTTCTTCCGAGTGAAGTGGTTGACGAAGGGTGCTTGTTGGCGAGTCACAAGCGATGGCTTCGCACGTTAAGAAAAATAGGAGTCTTATCCGAATGTGTACCTATGAGACTCTCTTTGAAACGAGTTATAATAAAATCATTCGGAATCTGCACATATTGTAGGGCTTTCATTGGTCCACACAATGTAGTCCGCGAGAAAAAAGAGTTCACATATTTTTCTCTTGCCTCGAGATGAATGGGCGGTTTTGTAAGAGAGGACTTGGTATATGTGGGAACTAACACCTTTTAAGCAATATAAAATCAAGAACAACCTTATAAAAAAATGACTTCAGTGCTTCTCTAAAGGGAAGCTGAAGAGGTTCCTGAAAAAAACGAGTTAGAGGTGAATTCTAGAGTATTTTTATCCCGTGATTCTGAATATCACAATGGTTTTGCCCAAAGATCTAACTAAACGCGAGAAAACACGAAAAACCTCCGACCAGTCGTTATGTCATACACAAATCTTTCGTCTGTCGCTCATGTGGGCAGAGCATGCAATCGCAATCACGCCAGGTATATGCCCCTGCAGTGACACCAGCTGTAAAGTCTCTTTCGGACATTTTTGAAAATAGCAAGAGTGCGCGTCCATAGCCCTGACAGGCACCGAAGATGCGCGAGTGGAGATTCCAACTCTGGATACGACGCAACGCTCAGGGAAGAAGGGGCCTCAGCGGTACTTTGAAATTGATTTTCTGTAGCCTCCATGCGCCAAATTGAAAAATAATCTCGGTTTTCGCGATCCTAGAGGCCAAATAAAGACGATTTAAGTGTTTGACTCAAATACAAGACCGCTTCAGCTTCTCTTTAACTCACCTCCTTACCATCTAAAAAAGTTGTGATCCTTGATGGATGCATAAAACACTTTTTTTCCCTTTGATAACTACTCAAGATAGAGCTGATTATAAAGTTTTAGCATATTATTCCAATATCTCCGATAACAGTACCCAATACTCCGCCGGCGCCTTTGCACACGCACGAATAGTAAAATTTCAACTCAAATCAACATCAAATCAAATAGTGCCGAATATTAGCCAAAAAGTTGAATATTGAATTGAATACGACTAAAAGATTCATTCTCAATATTTACAAACCTAAACAAAGACTCAATATTCATGAACAAAGACTCAATATTCACATAAAATATCTACAATAGGAGCAGAAACCACATTAGCCAGGGGGCCCAATTGTTAACAATCTCAAAATCACACTGCCCACAACAATCCAGCCCCACCGCCAACACCACACTAAAAAAAATATTCTTAGCTATGCCACTGATTTGCATATCCCATGTTGAAGTTCTGACTGCCGTAGAGAGAGAGAGAGAGAGGGAGAATGCATACCTGAAGGAGCACTTCCGCTTGAGGCACTGTGCGAGGGAATCCGTCCAACAGCCACGGATCGTTCCGGAAGGTCTCCCGGATCTCATGGAGCATCAACTTGGTGACGAGCTCATCCGGCACGAGTTGCCCTACACACGATCATACGGAGAAGCAATGTTGGTCAGCGGCGTAACATCGACCCAAAGCCGACAAGAAACGCTCCACTTCACATTACACTGGTGCTGAAGCCAATTCCAAGATTTAACTAAAAGTAATATTTTTTAAAATTTCTAGTGCAACCAATTATTCTTTTTTAATTCAAATTTGGCCAGAATATCTTGGAGCACCACGGTTATGCATAACTTGCACGTGACATCGCTGCACCATGCCAAAGGTTTTTCCTACTTATCTTACCAAGCACAATGAATTACATTGTGTGAAGTGTACGCTGCCAAAGGTTCAGCAGTAAGACCACAACAATGACAGCTGATGTGACACTGGTGCAAGTCACGCCCGTCATAGAACCATAAAGGCCAATATTCCAAATCCCTTATGTGTCCCTTTAAAGGTAAATCAGCGAAATTCCCTGGGCATTCTCGGATTCTCAGGTCTTCCCCAGTGGTAGCAAAGTCCTTCTGCTCAGACAAGCCCCAGGACCTGCTTCGACACTCGCAGTCAAACTTAATCGCGTACGACTGAACTATGGCTAGACTACACTATGGCTGACTGTGAGACCACAGCTGTAGGTAAAGCTACAGCTGAAGATGTCTATGGCTGAGGGCAAAACAATTGCAAAAGGCAAAACTGCTGCTGAAGAGAAAAATATTGTGGAACATGAGACTATGGCTAAAGATGAAACTACGGCTGAAAGCGATACTACGACCGAAGACGAGGTACAGGTCGTGGCACCCACCCCTTTCAATGAACTTCTCCATTTCGAGGCCCACGGGGGTCTTGTTCCTCACATTCTGCCGCATCATGTCCCCGCACGAGAGGTACTGGAGCGCAAAGTCCCTCACGATCCAGTCGGAGATGGTCCCTTTGCCCGATCCGGGAGGACCCATGATCACGGCCCGGAAGATACGCCTCGACATGGTCCCGGCTCACGCTGCGCTGCCAGAGGCCTGCTCGAAAAAGGGGGTAGACTTGCCACGTCATGGCTGCACGGCATGGCTGATCCTTTTCGATCAGGGTAGCACAAAACATGCCAGTGCTTCATTGCGACTCCAGGCGTTACTTTCCTGCAGTTGCATGAAGTTTGATTACACAGTCGGGCATTTCTTTCGTTGAATATAGGTATGTTCTATACCCCATTTCACCCTACGATGGGCCCCAGCAGACACGAGTGTCATGCGGCCTTTCGAAAAGGTCCAGCGGTGTGTAGTCATGTAATACATTTACAGCACTGGGCTGGCTCGGATGGCTCGTAGCACCCACTGCGGTTAATGGTAATGCAAAACAGAGTATAGAAAGGTTTTTCACTAAGCAGTAAAGGGATGCTTCGGCATTGCTAAAAGTGAAGGAAACGCAATGATTGAAGGGACAAAATACTTTCTTGACCGTCCACTCTATCCAATTCTTTCCAGTTCGGAGTTTCCTTGCAACACGCTCAAACAACCAGTACACACAATCTGTCAGTCAACTCACTTTTTTTTTTAGATATCTGTTCGTGGTACTTTTCAGGCCTCTCTCAAGTTTATAACTTCACAGTCATCGTTTTTCCTTTCCTTTATTTTTTTTCCCCCTCAGATTTGTGTAAAAAGAGCATGGAACGCTGGAGTTTTCGCAAGACTGTATGCCCAATGAATCCAGGGGTTGTAAACGCACGGCATCGGCCAAATCGCCCATAAAGATCACTACACAAATTAAAAGACCCCAAAGGAAGACATAAAAACACCTCTGTCCCCACGCCGTACGGCAAGCGTAGGCTACGTCACAAAATTTTGTCATTACATCACGTCACATAAAAAAAAAAGAAAAAGAGCCGATATATTGCGGTAAAGAGGAAACGTGCCCTCCAATGACGGGTTCCAATTGGCCTTGCAAACGTATTCAAGGAACACACGTAGCAAGGAAACGCCCTGGTGCTGAATGGCGAACATATTTTGAGTTCAGCGCTCTGCCATATATGAAATGCAATCGAAATTAAAAAAATATAAATCACACCTTGCAGATCCACCTTGGCCAATCGAGCCGAAGACGGGAGGAGGGGTCACGACTCAAAACAAAAGGTGGTGAGATACGAAGCATGAAATTATTTTAATGAATTTAAATGAATAGCGTGCAACTTCACAAAATAAAACACCAAAATATTTATTTTATTTCATAATAAACTAATTTAAGTTGCAGTAGTTTGAATCAATGAGGAGTTTTAACAATTTTAGTTTCTGCACCCGGTTTTGCTTCTTGTTTCACCTTGTGACTGAACCCAATGGGGCATGGCGGCATTTCAGTTCATGTTTCGGAATCGGAAGCGTTGGATTTCTCTCGTCAACTCTGCTTGTCCACGATGCAGGTATGAACTGGAATAGCTCCAGAACTCTCAGCACATCTAACCGGTTATGCGCGTGCTCCTGTAAAATAATTTTGTAGCTTAAAGAGTGCGTAATTCCGCAACTTACCGCGGTCCGGATCGCCGAATGACTCAATGAGGCATGGAATTCGATCGAAGAAGGGTTGCGACTATATTGACAGTGATATTAATTTTAGCGCAAAAACATGAATAACTCCCTTGTAAGCGTGTTGGCTTTATGATTGATTTTAGCCCCGATTGTGCAGGACGACAGTGATCTCGACGAGACAGAAGAGCGTTCCCTCGAAGGACAACCCGAGCAGTATCGTCAAACCGATCGCGAAGACTGGGCATTACGTCGTCTCCAAGCTCAAGTTTCTCCTCGAAGGTTACGATATGATACTGAAAAAGTTTCCTGTGGCCTACAGACTTCACCAGGTGTTCCTAATAGGTAAGCAACTTGTGTCGTCAGGCTGCCGCTTCGTGGCGAACCATGTCTGGCGCCCAATCCGTAACCAATGAGGTGCTCGCGTGGCTACGGTCTTAGCCAGTCAGATTGCCTTCTAGCCATGCTGCAGCCAATTAGATCGTCCGGATGCCATGCAGCAGCCAATCAGAACCCTGACAGCTGTGCACACGAAGCACGGCTGTAGAACTGTATAGATTTTTTTTTTTGTTCAGTAGACACTCACCACTAATCAGAGGTAGGCATTTTAGGTCGCCCTCACAGCTACACTCACCTCAGCCAGTCATCCTCACAGCTACACTCACCTTCTGCCCTTCACTCAGCCTCACAGTCACACTTACCTTCAGCCCTTCACTCACCCTTACTGAATCTCACAGCCGTCACACACTCATACCCCTCACGGGCCTCACTGCGCGCCTTCATGGCACTCGCAACCTATGACCCTCCTGGTCCTCACTCACCCTCATGAATTCTCGGGTTCAGAAACTCACTCACCCGAAACCTCACCTGTGAAGATGAGAGTGAGTGAGGTTATGCCCATTACCCAATAATCAAACTGCACCAAGCATCCGCGCGTCGAAATTGTTGCGAGGCGAGCGTCAACCCCATGTACTGGGAGATGTCGCGAGAGGTCACAATACCCGCACCACCTCTCACAAATTCTCTATGCCTACAAGTAAAATCAGGCCTCACAGAGAATTCATCGTCTCACACAAACCCCAGGCGCAAACGCAAGCACCTCATCTGAGCTCAGATCCCTTAAGAACTAATGCCCCTTACTGCCCTCACGGCCTTTACACCCCTCACACACTCGTAACTCTGCTCGCGCTCACTGCCGTCATGGTCCTCATGCACTCATGCCCTTGACACACTCACTAGCCTCAGACCCCTCATGCACTCATGCCCCTCACACACTCACGGTCCTCGCACCCCTCACGACCTCACTATCCTCATTCACCCTCACACTCACGAATTTTCCTGGTTCTGAAACTTACTCATCTTCACCTCACCCATGAAGATGAGGGTGAGTGAGGGCCATCATCAGTGAGGTTTGCCAAGGTATGCTCCTAATCGCCAAGGTTAAGCTGATTTTGGTGCTGTCTTATGCAGGGCCGTAACCAGGAGGGGGGGTTAGGGGGTTCCGACCCCCCCCCCCCCGAAATTTTTTTCTGGGTACGGCCCTGGTCGGTGTACTTGCAGCCAGCCAATTTTAATCTCCACCTCTGCGCACGCGCAGTGGCACCAGTCGGCTACCGGATACCAAACCGGGACCGGTTTTTCGGTTTGCTATAACTCTCCATTATATGCCACCGTTGCACATGATTCATAGGCGAAAATAAGACAAAATGGCCGCCGTTGTCCCCAAAACCCCCCCCCCCCCCCCCCCCCCCCGAAATTTTTTTCTGGGTACGGCCCTGGTCTTATGATGCGTTTGAAATCTTCCATCGAGCATTTGATGACTACCGTGTGCCCTCGAACCCGGGTGAAGCCTTTAAAGTGTCCACGTAAATCGGCCTAAGATATCGTGCTACCATGTACCACAGAGGTGCGTGGTGGTGGAAGCATTGCATCAAAATTTGCAAAGAATGAACTTGCCTGAGTAAAATGTAGAAAAACGATAGCAGGTTTCCTCTATAGTCTATGGCAGATTATAGGGGCACAAAGAGGGCTCTGCGATCATCTGTTCTTGGTCATAACAGAATGTACGGACCCTAAACATCCTAAAAATAAAAAAAAAATTATGATTAAATGATGCCAAATTTTTTTTTATTAAAAATGTGATGAAAGGTTGGGACAACCCCTTTCTGAGCGGATATATTTGATCTGAAAGGGGTGTGTCCCAACCTCATCACGTTTTAATAGGGAAATCGGCATGGCCTGATTGTTATTATTTTTATTTTAGGATGCTTAGGGCCTGTAAAATCATTTATGACCAAAAACAGACTATCGCAGAATCCTCTTTAGTGCCCCTTTTAAAGTAAAGTGGAAGCTCCTCCCTTCTCTTTCCACTGTAGCAAACACTGGAGAGGAGGTGACCTCCTCTTCGACAACATATACCTGAAATTACTTGACGAACCATTACAGTTTTATTTGTTTTGACCATTGATTGTCTTATTGGGAATGAAAAAGAAATCATGCACTGCAGTTTTGATTTGAAAAGGTTGTCTGCCTTTGCCACGACCGAGTGGCTGTTGGTCTGCCATAAGCCACCGGAGCCGCGTTGCCGCCACCTGTAAGTTATTGCACCAGTCAGAGGGTGTGCAGTTAGCAGACGGATGCCATAAATTAAAAAAAAAAAACATGTTATTGTTTTTTTCTTATTTTTACTCAGCACAGCTTCTTCTTTAAAATTTTGATGCAATGTCTTCACCAGCTTCAGCCACTTATTTGGTAAATCGTGGCACGATGCGTTACCAAGCCGATTTCTGTGGTCACTTTAAAGGGATACTACAACGAAATTTCGGCGCTCATTTTTTGGTCTATATGTGTTCAAAAAAGCCGCATCAAATCGAACATACCAATATCTTGTTAAAAAAGTCACGAAAAGGAATTTTAAAACGAATTAAACAATTCTCAAAGAGCCCCTGGTGGATGTCGCTAACGCCTCGCTTGTAATGCCCGTCTAGGAACCTTGACAGCTAGTGACGGAGGTTGTCTCGTCTCCGGCCACGACGAGAGAAGAGGGGCAGGAGGAACTCCCCTCTTCCCGAGAATGCCTTTTGTGTGTCGCAGAAGTCGCTATTGTCCCCCTACAAGATTATAGAAGATTAACCCGTCACTCAAAATTCGTACAAAAGCAGCCGCTTCGGTGGCTGGAACGACTAGGCCATCCTCTCGACGTCAGCCTCGCCGTAGCTTTGCTCGTCTTGAGACGACCTACGTCACGATTACGTTGGATGTCACGTGGTCTCCGCTGGGCCTTCTCCGAGCACTTGCCAGAGTGGGCCGTTTATAACGAAAAATACAGCCACCAGGCTCAAAATACAAACGTGCGATTGTCATTTACGGATATTGTGAATCATATTCAACCTATTTTTGAACACGGCGGGAATATTTCAAATTTCGTTGAAGTATCCCTTTAAAGGTTTCACTGGGATTTGGGGGCACGTTTCTGTTTCACCATAGTCCGAGCGCAGCAGTCACCACGAGTCAATTGGGAAATTGAGAGCACCGAAAATGCTGCATCATAGCATTCATAGTCAATTTAATCAAGTGCAGGGAATGTGCATGACCATGCACTTTTAATCTGTATGTGCAGCATGTCTAAAAAACATTACAATGTATTTTTCACTGCAAAAGTAAATTATGCATTGCTTAGCGCTCACTCTTCGTCTAAACGTATGTAGCGCCAGCAGCCCACACCGGATAGGGGGATTATGTTCGACAAATGTTTCGTTTTTCCTAAATAGAGACGGAAGCGACAATATTACGTCTGATTGGCTAGAGGCTCAAACGACGAAAAGGGGAATTTTTGTCATTTGAGCCTCTACCCACCTAGGGAAGCTTGATGTGAGAGTGGCGGCGTAAAGCGGGCTTGAAGAGAGCAGCGCAGTTGCTTTAAAGGGCAACTCCACTGAATTCCAAAAATTTTACGCTTACATGCGATCCATTTCCCAAAGCACTACTAAACAGCCCTATGTCTTCAGATTCGCGAAATGTGGTATATTTTTTCTGTAATCTTAGTTTAAACATCAGTAGATACCGAAACCGAAAATTTGGTTGCGACAGGCAACATTGATCTCGTGTTGTCAGAGTTATGTCTACGTCACGCTGAACCATGTGGTCCGGAAGGTCACGTGATCCTCTATGCGACGGCAGGTGAACGTAGAGCAAAGCGCAAGTTTCGTCTGCTCCGTTATTTTCGCCAATGTAGTTTGCTACAACATACGACAACGTCTGCACCACTGCAACCCCAGCTTGCGCTTCGGGTTGGAATCTCGACGATGCCCACAATTGGACGCGGGCTTATTGTCACGAAGGCGCCGTGTAACTGAGATCTCAGTTACACGCAAGATCCACACGTGGCCCAAATTAATCATCAGACCTGCGCTTGGGCGTGCCAGGTACCCTTCATAGGTCTGGCACATAAAGCTCCAAGTTTATTTTACTGAAAATAGCTGAGTCTTCGCACCTGGTTTCTACAGGCGCGAGACATATATGCTCGTACACTGGGAAACGCCCGGCGCATGGTGCGACCGATGCGGTGGTCGTTTGACCATGCCTGTGTCTCCTGCTTTAGTAGCCTAAATTGTGTATGTTTATGAAGCTGTATGGCAGTCTACATGTTTGTTGTCAATAGCAAAATATTCAGCAAAAATTATGAATGCAGTCAAAAGTATGCTCCAGCCCTGCACATCACCACATGTGCCCATTCCAGTATGTGCAAATAAAATTATTCTTATTATTATTATTAATTCTTTGGTTTCACAGCACAACTGATATTTTCAGGCACGTTTCTCTATTTAGCTGGTAGCAGCAAATTACTTATTGTATTTACTCGAGTAATAGCCGCAATATTTATGAACAAGGCCCTTGTGTCTACTTTCCTGCTAAGCACATGTACAGCCAATCATCGCGTTGCACACATAGGGAATAACTAGATCAAGAACACGGGTCTCCATACAAATGCAACCTTCACAGATGGTACCTTTGCGCGAAGACGTTATCTCAGTCCTGTAAACAGCTGGAATCATGCTGTCGATCACGGTGATTGGCAATCCGCGTGCTCCGCGGAAAAGCGAACCCTCAGGTTTTCTTCATAAACAGTGGGGCTATTACTTGAGTAAATACGGTAGTGTGGTTAGCACAAGCAGTCGGAATAGATTATTGTTTTGCGATTTGGCGACAACGGCTTCCCGGAGTTCCACCGGCACGGGATGTCCGTCCACACATTCAGATGTGCACTGTCGTGTGGGAACCTGTGAAAGACAACTTCCGGGCTGGTCAACTGGTAGCTCGAGCTGGCAGCAAAAGAACGTTGTGAGCCTATGGATCTTTTGCCAGGCATCGCAGTTAGTCATCGGAGATGCTGCCCGCGCTCGTATCGTAAACAAAACATTCTTAATCTACAACAGCGGCGAGACGAAACAGACTGCTCAGCAGCTCTCGGCTCCAAGAGGCGCACAGGGCAGTGCTAACTAACGCATCCGTGTTAGAGTGATCACGTGGGCACCGTTGAGCCAACAGCGAGAGGAGAAACTCATGACGTCATTGTTCAATTTCGCCCTGAAAAATAAAAGCAAACATAACGTGAGAATGACGTAGACATGACTCTGACGTAGTGGCTGAATATTGGGTGCTCCAACTCCGTGGTATCGACTGCGCTGTGGTGAATTGGTTGGTGTATTACAGTAGTCTCTACAGCCACTTTCCTTATAGGCTAGCTGTATTGTCTTTGTGAGTGCAAACCTGAATGCTCATGCACCCGCACCATATCATGGGCTATCGTTATCAACAGGCACACGGGACCTTTATCAAGACATTCGAGAGTACATGCGAATATCGCAGGAACTGCGGTATGGAAAGTCGGTTCGCGAGCTTTCTAGGAAGGAGTTGGAGCTTTATTTTCAGGTTAGTAAAGTCCTCTTCAATGCCTGCTCATTCCCACTGCAAAAAATCCTTTTTAAACTTTGGCGTTTCACCTCTGTGCTTTTCAGATACCCCGAGATATTATAAAAGTGGCACCGGTCCTGTTTGTGATAGCTTTGCCTGCCACAAATTTCTTCATGTTTCCACTGATGTGAGTGTGCTTGGCATGTTAATGAGTGTGCCCACTAGCTGTACAAATATTTTTTGAGACAGGCTAGCAAGCACAGATAGCATTTTGGTAACACCACCTGAAAATTTGTTGCTCGGTGCTAATTCTTTGCAAAAAAGTGGTGTGTGGGGAGAATTTCCAGTAACAGTTAAGATTTAGTTTCTACTCTCACACTAAATTTACAAGACTTGAAAATAATCTTCACCACAATAAAGACAAATCTGCTGCTAGATTTAATCATGTCATTCTAAGAATCTATAATTTCTAAAGAAGCACTACCATTGCGTGCACTTCATTGGGGTTTCTTAAAAATGTATGGTGACCTTTCAGTGCGAAAGCATTAACTGTATCATGGAGAGAGCTCACATCATCAGCTTTGAAACCATGCCAAACGGTTCTTAAATCCTTCTCTAAGTCAAGCCAGCTCCCATTTGCTGGTTAGCCACAGCACCTTTTACACCGCTTCGATCCCATTGGCTAGCGCGCGTCGACCAGGGGTGTCGTTGAAATTGACGCTGCGCGTCAGTTTCGATGACCAGCCGCCTCATGGCGCTCCGTGTCCGTCAGCGCAAGTCAGCACGCCAACACGTGTATAGCAAGAATGATCTAAATGCTTTCGCATTCACAACTCGTAAGAAGTGCTTAGCTGTACCTCAATCTTTTTAATCACTCTGCTACAATCAATATTTTATGAGTGAGAAATAGCAGTTTAGAGAAAAATCTTCTATGAAATAAAAGCAGCTTTAATTTATGATAGTTTTTGTAATAAAAATAATTGCACAACTTTATGCATTCTTATCGGTTACATTGTGTTCTATACAGCTATGATCAGGATTTTTTAAAATTCTTGGCAACTCCGGCAGAAGACAAAACCAATATAAATGACTGATATTTCTTAAGTGGCACGAAATATGATCACAGCCGAAATATTACGTCAAGGTGAAGCCGTGTACTCCAGTAAAACCAATTTAAAAGATGCGACCCGCTCCTCTTTAGCAGGCGGTAAGCGGGTTAGTTTTTAGTCAAGGAACACTGGCGCAGCACCCTTGTGGCGTCACGTCGCGGTGGAGCTGCGGTTGATTGGTTGTACCGCATACTGCAGCACCCTTGTGATGTCACGTCGCGGCTAGCAGGGGATGATTTGTGTTGCCATCCCTCTAGCAGATAGTTTCGGTTTTGCCTTAGACACCCGAAATCAAACTTTGAGCCGTGATTTTTTAAAACTACACACAATATTAAAAAAAAAAGATCATACCTTGCAATTAAGAGACACTGCTTTAACTGAGTAAGAACTTGTTGTTGGGCTAGTTGGTAGGCGCCGGTGATTGTCTTCTATCTTGTGTATGTCTTTTTAACGCTTTCAACCATGGTTCAATACTTTAACTGAGAACAGTCGTAATCCCAAATTAAAAAATATTGACCTGATTTTCCCTTCAAATAGTACATTTTCTACTGGGTGTTTCTTTTTAAATCTGACTTTTTTTTTATAGCTGTGAAAGCTACGCTAATGCGGTTTGTTTAGGATATTTATACGGTCAAGGGGGACTAATTAGAAGGCTAATCGTCACAGTAAGTTAGATAATTAAAAAAAACTTGTTAATTAACTTTTTAATTAGTGGACATATAGTTTCAATTAGAAACTTGCTGAGCATTTTCAAAAACCACTAAATGCATCATTTTTAACAAGAATTTGCAAGTGTGGGAAGCGCAGCAGTGCGCTAAAGCTAGCGCTCGTATAACTAGCACAATGCTGGTGCAATGATAAAAGATGAAAAAAAAACGCACGGGCACGTTATCGCACCCGTAACTTTGCTTCATCTATGCGAGTGGTAACTTTAGCGCTCCACTGTGATCTAAATATTTCTAATATTGACTGGTTTAGTGGTTTTTGATGACATTCAGCAAGTTTCTAATTAGAACCCTATGTTTATTTTCAATAATTAAATAGTTCATTAGCATATCTTAGTTAATTAGCCAACCGATCGTTACAATTAACCCCCTTTACTATGTACCCCTGGCCGTATGACTCACCTGTACGAACCGCGTTAGTTTAGCTTTCACAACATTTTTTTTTTAAACAAATCTGTTAAGCTTTAAAAGAAAGGCTCAAGGTACACCTAAGCATTTCTTACGAGTTGTGAGTGCAAAAGTATGCGTGCCATTCTTCCGCTCCCGTGTTTTGTTTGCAGTGTATTTGCGTCGGCCGAGCGCGCGCTCTTCAGCTCTTTTCGCAGCTCTGACCTTGAACACTTTGTGTTATAGGCACGCTCACAGCGCAGACACGCAGCGCCATGGGGCGGCAGTCGTTGAAACTGACGCTCGCAGCGGCCATTGGGAGCCTGGTCAACGCGCGCCAGCCGATAGGATTGAAGCGAAATCCATCAGCTTTACTCCGCTCCTTTGGGATCGGGGAAACTAAGGACCCTTGTCTAGGCTTTTTGCTTGGGTTCATAACTGGGAGCTGGCTTCACTTGGAGAAAGGATTTAAGGTGCCGTTTGGTGCGCTTCAAACTGATGACGTCGGCTTGCTTCATGGAACAGTTAATGCTTTCGCATTAAAAGAAACACCCTGTATATCTCACCTTGAATGTATAGTGGCTGTTTTGTTATGCCATGGCGGTCTGAAATTATTATCTGAATTAAAATGTTTCTGGCAGCAGCAACCAATTCTTTTTCGCTTTGAGCATGGACACTCTTCGTATATTTTGTGCAGCTATCTTTTTCCCAAGCAACTCCTTACCTGGCACTTCTGGAGCTTGGAACAGAGGGTCGACTTCTCGGTTGCGACGCAACGGAAAAAAGCAAGCACTTTTTTCATTTCAAGAACTAGGACGACCCATACATTACACCTAGGAAAAAAACTCCAAAATTATTGTAAAGCCTTGTCAAGAAAAAAAAAATATTTGTCTGAAATTAGTTTGATGTTTTAAAAACACAGCGTAGAAGCGGTGTCATCTAAACATCTCCAAGTCTGATGACCATGAAGGATATTCCCTTATGACAGAAACTTTCCGTCATCTTTTTATGGCTGCATTAGGTACAAGAATACAATGGATGCAGGATTATTTTTTCATTGACACATAATGCATTGTTGGCTCTTCAATATGTGGAAGCAACAAAGTATAGTTTAAATTGTAATTAGGAACGAAATCAGCTGCTGGTTAGATTGTTTAGGAGATTTTAGCTCTCCGGCTCATCATGCATGCTACAGTCAAATACGACTATATCGAACCCGTTTATATTGAGTTATCCCTTATATCGAACATTTTTTGTGCACAGTAACCTTACAGTGATAATATTTACCAAAAACTATGGTTACATCGAACAAAAATAGCAGCCGCTACCGATATATCAAACTTCAAGCAGTGCAAAATTGCCCCCAGAAGTTGGCTTTACCCTAACGTAGGCTGCTGCATTGGGGGAAAGTCAACTTGCAGAGCAAGCTGGCTTTTTTTCTTGGCTGTGTCCACCCTAGGGTGACCACCCGTCCCGCGACTCGCGGAACTGTCCCACATTGAAGGCTCATGTCCCGCGTCCCGGCAGAAATATCAAAATGTCCCGCATTTCACAACGGCGTAAAATTTACTATGCAACTTATGGCGCTGCCGTAAAACTGGGCCTGGGGAAGCGCGATAGTACACCATTTTCTATCCCAGCATTGCGGGAAGCGAACATCGTTCTTGCAGAACTGACGCGCATGCACCGTTGTGCCTCTCTTCTCTTGGTGGCAAAATATTGCAATAAAAAATTGCTCGCCAAAAGTTGAAAAATAAGTTAGTTATTATTTTCAAATCGTGCTGTGCATACAGCACAATTCCACAGCAAGAAAGTTCCTGTGGAAATTGTTTTTCTCCTCTTTAGTGAAGATTACACAAGACAAAAAGACTGCAACTCACGACGCTAAAAATTGTGTAGAAGCATGTTGGTAAAAACAGGAATTGACAGTAAACAAGAAGCCGTAACAGGTTTACTGCTTCTTCTATCCTTTTGATGCATCGAGTTCTGCTGCAGTCAATTTTATGTTTTCAACTTACACATTTATAAACATATCCGGCATTAAAACTTAAAATATATCGCCAAAAGTGAAAGTTATTTGAGCTTAATTGCCGCAATACAATTTGTAGCTGTTTAGTATCTTCGGACAAGACAGGACTTTAAATGTGTTAGCAGAGCCGCATTTCGTGGCTTGTGTTGATGAATTTCCTCAAGTAGTTATTTTTTCCATGATGTTTTTTAATTTGAGACTAGGGCAGGAGGGGAAAAAAATGTTTCCTCCTTCTGCTCGTCTCGGGTTAAAAAGCATCATAGTAAACTTCCATCAGCTCGACTGCGCATCAAGTTGTTTTTTGCAGTTGCCGCAGTCGAAACATAATACCGTTCTTCTCTTACAATCCCCCCCCCCCTCCCCTCCCTTGGTCAGCGTGTCCCACATTTCGCTAGCAGGAAGGTGGTCACCCTAGTCTACCCTTATATCGAACAATTTTTGTGCACAGTAACATTACAGTGATAATATATAGCCAAAAATGAAGGCCGTTTACAACTCCCTGTTACACCGAATTAGAGTGCAGCTCTTGAGGAGGGGGAGGGAAAAATACTGAGAGGAGGGTATGCCACTCATCCCTCCTCCTCACCTCCTCATCCTGCCTGCTACTCTTCCCTCCGAGCAGCGTCGCCATCGCCGTCCGTGTAACCATGAAGCCTCGTGACCTCACCGGGGTCAAGTGACCTCACGGGGGTCACGTTACGTCACCGGGGTCACTTGACCTCACAGGAGTCACGTGACGTCACCGGGTTATGTGACCTCATGGGGGTCACGTGACCTCACAGTTACGATGACGCCGACACAGCTTAAGCTGGAAACGGGCGCCTAAGAGCTCCACTCTTAAAACTATGGTTACATCGACCAAAAACAACAGCCGCTACCGATATATCAAACTTCAAGCGGCACAAAATTGCCCCCAGAAGTTGGCTTTGCCCCAACGTAGGCATTGGCATAGGCGTAGGCATTGGGGGAAAGTCAGCTTGCAGAGGAAGCTGCTTTTTTTCTTGGCTGTGTCTTGTGTCGTCCGACGGCACTTCACATGCGCCTAGAAGTGCCGTCCGAAAGAGTCAGACGGTGCGTGTATCACTGGGGAGCTCGTTAAGCCAGCCCCCCGCCTGCGTTCACGCTACTTCGCGGCGACAGTATGCGGCCGCTAATTACAAAATTATTGACCCATTTGGCCGTGTCGGCAAGCCAAGCCCCGCTGTCCCCCATGCGCCTCCGGAAACGAAGTCCCATACCATTTTATTCGGCGAAGTTTTGGCGACAACATTTGTTTTTTCCAGTGTTAATCGTAAAAAAGAAATGTAAATATCGCCAAATGCGTCAATAAAACAAAATGTTCGAGAAAAAGAAAAGAAAGAGCTTGCACTGGGGATCGAACCCAGGATCGCTTGCTTCTGAGACAGACATCTTACCATTAAGCTACACTACAGCTTCAAAAAACTCATTTCGAGAACTCACTTTATGCGAGACTTTTGGACGGCACTTGAACGCCCGAGTGGACTACCGTCGGACGGCACTTCAACGCTCTGCAAGAGTACCGGCGGACGGTACTCTAGACACTATGTTTTTCCTTCCGGGCGGCCGCGTCGACCGGCCTGCCCGAACTGCCAAGAGCACCGTTTTGCTCTGCAAGTAGGGTGTCCCCCAACTCGGCCGTCCACGTTCGGGGAAAGCCAGCTCGCAGAGCAAGCTGCCTTTTTTTTCTTCCGGGCAGCCGCGTCGACTTTGCTAAATGTGGTGTGCTTGTTTGTTGTCACATTCATTCAAACATTTATATCGAATTAACCGCTATATCAAACTGGTAGACGGTTTTTGCGAGTTGGATATAAACGGGTTTGACTAGTACCAGGATCATAGGTTTTGGGGGGATTCACAGTATATAATTGATGTGGCTGTGAAACCAGATTTCAACAGTGCAGAATAGCTTTTGCATTCCTTCCTATCGACACGCAGATATTTAACAGTTCTAAATACTGACTCGAATCAATGCTTTATTATATTATAAATATTATGAAAGTCTGGATAACCTTAAATACTTTCTAACACAAACTTTAAATTACAGTTTAAAATTATTTTCTGGCATGGGTGCACCGGTATGGCGCCTTTGATGATGGCGCTGGCACAAGTGACGCTTTTCTGCAGCGCAGCGGCGCATAAAGAGAAGGTTGTTTCTTCCTTGCTCGCACATTATCTAGCATTTCTAGTTTTCTGTTTTTATATGTTACAAATTTATGACTGCTGTTAAGCTATCACCGACATCTCATTCCCCTTTAATGCTGCAAGTGGGGCAAGTCGTAATTTCTGTCGAGGAGGCCTAAACCCATCCAGCGAGCAAGTGTTCCAAAATGCGTCTTTGGCACATCAGAATGCAAGGAGGAGCACGCCAATCGAAGGAACACATAAAAAATGCGGGGTGACAAGGCAGCCAAGCGTGCGCTGTCATTGGTCGAGGTTGGGGGGGAAACAAATCTACAAGGTGCGCAAGGAGCAGACAAACTTGTACGCCATATGAAACTGGGATATGTTACAACATCATTTCCAAGTAAGATTTTGATTGTTCCACAAAATGGCAAAGAATGTCCATTCCTCTTGCCACTGAGACAGAATGACCATTGGAGTGTGTTCCACTCAACCTCTATCAAGCATCGTTGTGAGTGCATCGTGGGGTGGTGCACATGCAGGCATATGTGGCGAGAATGTTGGATTTGTGAAACTCACATAGAAAAGTGTTCTCTTTTTGTTTGTTTTTTCGGCTGCTTACCTATTATGATCTGGTCTGAACTTCGGTATATTTGACACAGGTGTCTAACTATTTGCCCGTGCTTCGGTACATGCAAGCGAATGTACCCAAGGGTGAGGAAGGCCAGAAGCTGCTCAGGATATTTCACAAGGTAATAATGTGCACTGTGTATTCTGAACTGTATATGGTATGTTCAGTTCCTATGTAACTGTCAATCTAAATGCATTATTCTGCCTTCTACATGCCTTCTTTCTGGGGTGCTTTTTAAATGAGGTCTTTATTGCTTTAGACGAGATATCTTTGTGCTTTATTTTAGAATGTCTCGTCGAAATGGAATTCTGGGATGTGGGTTGATTTGTTTGTCTGGTCTGTATGTTGCAATATTTTTTTTTTTCTGTTTACAAACCTTGGGGAAAACTTAAGTTACTGCATAGCATCAGTTCTTTGGTTTCTGGAGTTTCTTAGACGTTCCCTTTGCACTACGTACTTGCATACATCTGTTTATATGTAGATAAACTGTAGTTACTACCATAATATAAATGTTGCATTGTTGCTTGGTATGTACTTATTCCTAATAAATAATACCCATATCGCACTGTTCAGTTCTCGATATCCAGATTGATATCTGAGGCATTTAACTCTCACGCGTCAGGTTCAGGCACAATTGCATTATTAATGTTAAGTTTGAATGAATGTAGGGTCCCTTCAGCATTCCACATTCAGTAGCAGAAGTTCTGCAAATGCATTTTTGCTGGCTGACACATTGAACCACACTTTTGCAGCTTGGAAGTGGAACTCATCCCACTGTGGAAGACATCCTCGATGCGAAGCAGTACTTCATTGCCAAGCCGCTGGCTTTGTCCAAATTGAGCAGGAAGCATCTCGTAAGTCTCCTCCACAAATAACGGAAAATTGACTTCTAATGCAAAAGCTTTAACTGTCCCTTGGCGCGAATCGACGTCATCAGCTTTGAAACCACGCCAAACGTTGACCAAACGGCGCCTAAAATCCCCTTTCTCAAGTGAAGCCGATTTCTGATGGATTATGCTCCCATTGGCTGGCGCGCGTCATCAAGGAACGAGGCCCCCATTGGCTCTTATGTGGCATAATTCCAAAAAAAGCCACCAGAGAAGCCCCCTCCATGATGGCGGAGCACAAACAGTGGCGCAGCCGCCAGTACAAGAGGGAGCTGTGGCAGCAGAGCCAGAGCCTGTCTGGGCAGACTCCAGAGTGGTCGCACAGTTGAGCTCGGTGCGGCCATTTCACGGAAGCGCGCGCTCAGCCGTCCGCCGGCAAAATGTGGCCATCTACGCCACTACGCCGCAAAACAAACGAAGGAAGTGGAAGAACGACATTCATGCTTTCGCATTCGTAAGAAGTGCTTAGGTGTCCTCAGACTTTTTTGCGGAAAATGTGTGGCCTTCATTGTTGGAACTGCAGATAAGAGTGAACATACAGACTGAATCTCCAACTGTTTGGAGATTCAGTCTGTATGTTCGGCAGTATTAAGATTTTATTGTTGATATTATTATCGGGAAGTACTAATGGGAGACTTGGGTCTTAAAGTGGCAAAAAAATGTAAACTAAATTGTTTTTGAAAAAAAAAAAACATTCCTTCTGATGTCCGGTTACATCAACTAACCCTTCTGCAGAATATTATCACTATACATGACCAGTAAATACTATGAGAAACACTTCAATAATTCTAATCCCTTCAAAACTTCAAGTGTCTTTGTGTCTGTTTGTACTTATTTCAATAGTGCCGAGTGGTGTTTTCTAAAGTTTGTCTCGGGCGATATTAACTCTAGTTTTGTTGCATAGACCTATCTCAAACTGAGTTAAGAAGAAACATGTCACACTTTTTGTTTTAAATATCTCTCAGAAAAAGTAGGGCATAAAGCAAACACCTGATGTATGTGCATAAAGCATTCACTGCAGATCGCAGTTGTATTATGAGCAATAGTCTACTGAAGTATATAATAATGAGTTTATAATCCCTTTAAGATCCTCAAATATTTTTAAGGTGTTCCACCCGAAATGACTAACCAACTAGCTCAGCTCATTCCCCTTATGCGTTCATAGGGTAAGGCCATATTTTGCCAAATTAGAAAATTTGGCCTCTGTGAAACTAGCTGAAGCATTTTTTTCTAAAACTCTTGAGCAGTAACGAGCAAATATGTTAGGCATTCTTGTAGAAGATCGGTGTTTGCAGTGAACAATCGGAAGACTATAAAAAAATTATGAGAGAATATTCGTTTCTACTTTCTACAAGATATATTTTAGTACTGAATTTTTGAAGGCAAATATTATGCCTGCTACCTGAATATCTTCTGTTCAAGCAAAGCAGCGGCTTGCAGAAGTGGGTACATGAGCACAGGGAACCTCCAATTCTCAATGTATCCTTTTGTGGCCTTTCCTGAAGCAAAGTGTTGTACACAATGTTCACTGCTTCTAGCTGCAGCCTAATAAGGGCCAGCCTTCAGTAATGGATTGGCACCATCACTGCAGTTTTTGAACCGTGACACAATGATAACTATGTCAGGCAGTCGTAGGGGAAAGCGAGCTCACTGGGTTCTGGAATGTCTCCTTGGAAGCGCAGTCCAGCTTGTGCCGGATTCACGGGAAGAGCACCTTCTTTCTGGGTCGCCGGTCGAGGCTTTGGAGGCACGGGGGCTTTGTCCACGAGATGGATCTAGCCATGGCACGTGAAGGCATCGACCAGATGGACGTCGCGGAGTTGCGATGGGTGAGTGCATCTGTCAGTCTCAGTCTCGTCTACGGCAGGATGACCAAGTGTGGTTCAGCTTGTCTCAGCACTATCGGGCCAAAATCGAGAGTAGCCGCAGACAGGGCCGACAAATCAGAAACCTGTGTAACCTTCCACTGGGAGGTGTGCTTTTGTGGAGTGCATGAGTAATGTACCAAATATTTTCACACCACATTGAGACGAGAAGTGCGGGACCAATAAGGCAATGTGTCAGGGGAATCGCCTCTTGTTTTTATGCTGGCGTGGATTAAGCTGGGATGAAGAAACCTGTCTTTTAATAGTTTTATTTGTTCTACCGAATGTGATGCACTTAGCTCAAACACAACATTAGCGTTTTTTTTTGTTTTTTTTTATGTTTGTGCTGGTGATGTTGAACGCCGAGATTTATTGCCAAGTTTCAGCGATGATGGTACGGCAGTGTAGCAGTTGTGCCCCCTTGTTTGTGGATGATTGCCTTTGCCACAAAGACGCTTGCACAGATCTTGCTTCGTACAGCTGTTCTATATCGATCATCCAGGTGCCAGTGCTCGACTTAATCAACTAAGTTGGTACGCACATATTAGCGTGCCGTTATCATCGTATTCGACAGATAAGAAAAACTACTGGAGATTGTATATTGTGCATATAATAGCAAATTCTAGTCATAATGAAGCTCCCTCCAGAAGGAAAATAATCAACAGTGTTGACTTCTGCAATGTGGAGCGTTAGCTGCATGCTGTGTTCTGGATGTCACATCACTTTTTCTGCCCTCCCACTTTTTCAGGCTTGCTTTCTACGTGGTCTGAATCCAATGGGCTTGAGCAAAAAGGACTTGATAGCATGGCTTCAAGACTGGATCAAAATTTCATCAAGCATAGACAGTGAGTGCAGCCATAGCAGTCTTCTGATGCCTGTCGTGTTAAGTCTCTTTCAGATACCTTTTAGTGGGCCCATGCTAATCCATTTTTACAACTAAATGCTCCCAAAGATATATTTGATGACTTTGGATACTGTTTCTAGTAGCCTAACAATTTAGAAGAAATATTTGTTATTTATTTATTCAATGATCTACAGTGTCGTGAGGTATTTCATTAAGCTGGTGGAGGAAACTGGGGGCAGAAGGGCTAAGTGCAGGCTAAAAACTAGAAACACTAGAAACCTCATTAACCCTTTAAGTGCCTTGGACAAGCTGAACTTTTCGGCTGCTTTCTGGCTAAAAATGCCATGGACAAGCTCAGCTCGTCCAGTGGTTTTTCCGGCAGCCCTCAATACCACGGACGAGCTAACCTCGTCCGAGTATTTTGCGGTGCTGATCATAGACGGTAGCACACTCGTTTTAATTGCAGTCTTTTTTTTTTTTTTGCCGCCGCTGATTTTTGCATAATAAACTTTTGAAATTTTATCTGTTATACTAGAGGACTAAAACTCCTTAATAAAAATATATGGCATTTTTAGGCTGCTTTAAAAAAAAAAAAAAAAAGGTGGCACTTAAAGGGGCCCTGCAAGGACTTTTTTTACTGGTTTTTAATTTGCACCAAACCTGAGCGCACTGAACGTAGTAACTTAGTAAAACTTTTCTTTTTTCGATATTCACTTTATTTTAAAAGTTATAGAGAAATAAAAATTACTAAAACAAGCAAAAAATAACCGTCCTCATGACGTCCTTGGTTGCTTGAGTGGCCATGAACTAGAGGAGGGGTAGTGAGCTTATCGAGCGCCCACGGCTGCCGCACTCCGTGTCGACGGCACGAGAGGGCGGACGCCACTAAAGCATGTTCTGGATAGGCTGTATGCAGCGGGCGGCTAGAGCGGCTCTCACTGCATTTGCTGCGCGATTAAACACTGATTCGGCATGACACTTCATTGGCCACAAACGACAGCAAACACGGGATAAAGATCAGTTCAGAATGGGAGCCACTTTGCGCTGCCATACCGCAAAACGGCCAAACCGCTAGACAAAACTTCTCGTTGAAGGCCTTCGGAACGGTCGGAGCCGGTCGGATCCTCCGGTCCATACGACCGCAGCGCCGCCGCGTACATCGAGGACCTTTCCCTGTCGATGCCTGATCCCACTACTCCTTTCTAGTATGCGCCGCCTTTTCCACCGCTTGGTGGTGGGTATCTCGACGAGTCATTTCTTGTTTCCGTACTTTAAAAACTGCATTCGTTTCTTTTCTGATCTAAGATACTGAACAAAAACTTCTTTTATAAATAATTGAAACAGTTCGCGCCACTTATATTTTGCATTTCGACTAAAAAGAAGCTTTTAGCGGCTCTGACCTGTAGTAAGCCCAGGACCAGAGACGTCACATCTTGCGCGCTTTCGGTGCCGCGGGTCGCCCTCGTCGGTGGAGGAGGTTTCCGCGTCGTCCGGTTAAAATATATGACGCACTGACATTTAGTTACTCTCTCCGTGCCTGCTGGCTTGCCCGAACCCCAAGAGATGTGGAAACCGCAAAAAAAGGTAGACGCTTAAATATGATTGCAGGGCCCCTTTAAGGGGTTAATCAAACAAAACGACACATTGTTTGGCATAATTTCACAGTGACCGTTAGGTAAACCGTTCCAATTACACCAGAATAAATAATTTTGTTTGGCACAGTGCTAACCACAGGAATGGCTAGATACTGCTGGTGGATGTACAGGTACTGCTACAACAGAGCGCATCCCATCGAATCCCGGAGAAAAGCTCACCGCAAAACCGGCAGATGTGGAGAAAAGCTCACCAACCATGGAGCGTATGCAGAGAAAAGCGCTCACCGTTTTTTCTTCTTTTCATATAAAGGTTTTTGGATCCTGTGTAACATACAACAATTTATTGTCATTGAAGTTCGTCAGTTTTGTAAAACATAAAATGTCCCTTTTTGTAATATTTGTAAGCTTATTAGGTATATTGCTCACAAATTAATAATTGCAGGCGAGTGTTTTTTGTGGTTTACTTCTCTAGGCAACGAAAGCCTAACTGAAAACTTTATGAACTCTGAAAACAGGAAAAAAGTTTGAAAGCTTCATAATGTCCGCCAAAAACCTGAAAAGCAAAACTCTAAATGCCGAAAATTCTGAAGTACATGCGCAACAACAGAGTGCCTGAAATTTTCTTTGAAGCTTTTTTTAACCTTTGAAAACTGGATAGAACAATCAGTAGGATATCGAGGTTTCTTACTTCCGCAAACATGCTCTTTTTCTAGACATTCATGTTTATTTTTCCAGACGTCGCCTTTGTGAGGTAGTGACCTTCTATGGCAAAGCACCCATGAGCTTCAGAGATGCACACTGTTACCGTCATTACTCGTGACCTATAGTAAGGTATTGAATGAGGTGAGTTGGTAAACGTCACACATGAAAACCGCTCATGTGACGAAAGTGGAGTGAAGACAACAAACACGACAGGACGAAGCTGGTCTCGCACCTAAGGAGTTATCAGTTAAAAAAGAAAAATAAGACAGCGTAGTTGATACTGATTAGATCAACTAACACCTACTTATCTCTCAGGCATCGCACAATCTTCGGAGCCAAAACAGTTCACAGACCTCTGTTCATATTAGCTCGCAAAAAACAAACCTTTTTATCTGACAAAGCTACCGACGACGCACCGTCAAGCTGTCAATAAATTGTTCTTTTTCACTGGTGTCCCATGTTCTGAACTTATATTTGTGGCATCATGAATGTGCAGAATGGGTGATTACTAATTTCCGAGGAATTAGTAAATATGCCCAATAAACTTCAAGGGTATTACAAAAAAGAGGACAATTATTTTTAATGAAGTGACGAATTATAATTGTGCTAATTTCCCACGTGTGATACACAATCCGCTAAGCTAAGAACAAATGAAAAAAAATTCGGTGAGCTTTTCTCTGCATCCGTTCAAGGGCCAGTGAGCTTTTCTGCGCATCTGCCGGATTTACGGTGAGCTTCTTCCCGCCGCCCGATCCCATCATTGATTTTTAATTGTTCATTCTTTCCCCATTCTTCCAGGTCAAAGCATGTCACTGCTTCTGCACTGCCCAATACTCTTGGCATATAACCAACCAAGCAACTGGATTTTAATCCACTGACCCAACAAGGTAGCGTTATTATCTCCTAGTCCTTAACGTCACAGGAATTAAGCTGTTTCTCTATAGTGAGCATTTTATCGAGTAATAATGAACCTGCATTTTGAAACCAAAAACATTGTTGACAACCAAAAAAAAGTAATATATATGTATATATATAGTACTATTATAAATAAAATCTGGTTTCCAATAAATGTTCTCGTATGTCTATTTTTTCTTTTAGGTCGTCTTCAACAAATTAGCAACTTATAATCCAGGCACTTATTTTTTTTTTTATATGTGTAGGCACACATATTAAGAATTTCGTGGCTGACGTAGGGACATGCAGGATTTTTCAAAGGTGGCTGTAAGGATTTTAGTTAAAAGCAGTTAATAATGCTGTTGGTGAACATTCCAGTGGCCATTGAGGGAAGTAAAGAGGCTGGCTGGCAATGCAGCAGGCCTTTCAAACTGACTCTTATCAGATTATTCCCAAACAAAGGGAAACGCTAAACTGTCCGAATCGAGGGAGAGCGATGATGGAGGGATGCAGACTTCAGGAGCGCCATTCCATCATGCCTCTTCTTTTAGTTTTGTTTTCTTCTTGAACATGGCACATCTATATTAGGGGCTTCTGCTCCTACAGCAGTTGCACCATGGTGCCTAAAGCACGTCTCCAAACGGTGTTTGGAGTGTGGAAAGGGCTTACACCTGTCTTTGGGGCTCGCACTTTGGTTCTTGAGCCCCCGTCTACTGTAAGAGACTCGTATATATCCCCGCAGACAATAAAATAGCAAAACTGATTGTAGGGCCCCTCTAGATATCCATAGAAGACAAAAACAGACGAAGAAACCTTTACTGCAGACAGCCTTCAAAACTTGACCTGCCACACATTCGCCTGCACGTCAAACTCGCTTGCAGTCCCACTCCACAAAAGTCTTCACACTTCCGAAGTGGACGGGGCGATATGCACAAGAAAGTCGACGTCGAAGGGTCCACAAACTTTCGCTTTCTCCTTGGACATCCACCCTTCAGCTCGCATCACAATGTCGTGCCCTTAGCTCGTCAAGGGTGGCCTCGAGACGTTTGACCTTGCCAGCGGATTCTTCGAGCAGTTGTGCAGTCTCCGACACCTTACCAGAAGACTCTTCGAGCAGACGAACCGTCTCCAAATAAACGGCTTTTAGCCGTCGGTACTTACGGTAAAGGTCGCGGAGCGATGTGCGGAGCCCCTCTAATGGCAACGTGTCAATGTTCATCATTGTCGCGACCTCGTCATCACTGTCAGATTCCGAGTTGCTGTGGTCGAGGCCACTGCCTTCGGAGGCACGTGACTTGCTGCCATCGCGCCGGAGTAGGAAGTCGTCTGGACAAGCTGGTATTTCTGCATCCTTCTTTGAAGCATCTAGGTGCATACTGTCCGGCGATTTTTCTACAAAAAGAGAAAGAGGGGGGCGGGGCCAGAAAGAAACGCAGAAAAGAACTTGTTTTACTGCACTTCATTTTGACGTTGCTTGGAAAAATAAAGACCTATGACCGTGGAAAGCCAGTAGGGGCATCGGGGTGCATACACTTCTCTAAAGCAGGCGTTGTCAAACCGAGTTCCTAGGAACCTAGAAGTTCCCCTATACCCTTATGGGTTCCCCGGGCTTCGAATTTCCTCAACCATCCCTTCCCCTAAGTAAAAACATTCTTCCGGTTTGAGCACTATATGCTGCTTAGTTCATGCGTCACCGTTTACAAGGTCCGTAGGCTTCTGTACTGCTATATTGCATCAATGCCAAGGCTTGGAGGCATTCTTACTGTGTCAATGAAAAGCGCTAGGGCTTCCTCCAGATTAAAAATTATGAAAACCTCCGCTCTAACTTGTTGCGTCCCTCAGCGCATTGGGCCAAGAGCTTTAGCAGAGCTGTATATTTCTTAACGTTTTGTACAGCACACTTAGATATTGCTGCACATGCAGAGGATGAAGCTGCGTGGTAATTTCCATCCGGAAATATAAAACAACAACAAAAAAAAGCAATAATAAAAAAAAAAAAAGCAACATAGCTAATTGTTTTAGGAGGAAACACTTCAGCTGCTTGCCGAAGAAATGCCGGTTCTTACCGTATTCGAAAGCCGGTGATGCTGGAGGACTCGCTGAATGTGCACCCGCATTTTTATCCACGTCTATGCCCGTTGTTACTTTGAATGAAATGATTTCCAGTTCCACAGGAGAGTCGGCAGTACGAGGTTCAGGTGCCAATGACTGTGTTGCTAGGAAAAGCCGGCGAGTCAACAAAGATACAAAAAGAATCAAAAGAGTTAATTGACACCCTGTAAAGTTAGCAGAGCTGGCAAGTACTGACACATTTTGGAAAGCTGAAGCACAGTCGTTGGTTGGCTAGAACTGCAGGATAATTCAGTTAAAGAGAAATGCAACTGAACTGCCAATTCATCTCCAAGTTTGGTTGCACTCACTTTAAAGGGAAGCTGAAATACTTCTTGAAAAGAAACAAGTTAGAGGTGAATTCTGATGTATTTTTATCCCGTGAATCTGAATATCACGTTTGTTTTCCCCGAAAATGTACCGTAAAAAACAGGGCATCCACCCATTCCATACTAAGTGCTTACCCCCAAATTTTGCAACATCTGAAAAAATATGCACAGTACATATATATGTAAAATTCATGACCTTGCATGCACTCATCCCCTATTTTTTTTCGCGATTATCTTCAAATATTTAGTGGGTGCTTGCTGAATATTTTACAATGGGTAAAACTGATAACCTAACAAACACCCATTGCCCAATTTTCGCGATTATCTTCATATTTTGAGTGGGCGCTTGCTCGGCATTTTATGGTAACTAAACGCGAGAACACGAAAAACCTCCAACCAGTCACGACATCGTACTAGAATCTTTGGGCCACAAGGGCGTGTCGCTCGTGTGGGCAGCGCATGCAATTGCAAGCTTGCCCAGATATATTCCCCCGCACTGACACCACTTGTGACGTATCTTTCTCACCTTTTTTGAAAATAGCAAGAGTGCACGGGCATAGCTTTGACAGGCGCTGAATATGCGCGCGAGCGGAGATTCCGAAAACTCCTAATATGGCGTCACACCTCGGGAAGGAGGGGCTTCAGCGGTACTTTGAAAATTAATCTCTGCAGCCTCCTTGCAGCAAATTGAAAAATAATCTCGATGTTCGTGACCAGGAAAAATGAAGACAATGTAGTTGTTTTTCCTCAAATACAGAACCGCTTCAGTTTACCGTTAAATGAGCTATAGAGCAGATAGTATGCATACTCCCTCATTCCCGTTACCCAAGCTGTAGGTAACTTCCATGAGTGAATCTGCACTTCACAAATAATATTTTTGAAAAACTTAAATTTGCAGAGCATTGGTGACAGGATTCATGAAGAAACTTTTAGTTGAGATACAATATAAGTATGTGTCCTGAGAAAAGGAATGTGACCAGTTAATAAGAGAGGATCAAACACACACAAAGGAATAAATAAACTGGGCAATCTATTTGACGTGAGCTAATCATTTTTGATGACACTCTCATGCTCATACAACACGAAACAAAACTCACTTCTTTCAGAACATGCCGAGTTCCCAGAGTTCTTGCATTCTTTCCTTCTCTGCCTTGCAGTTCTGGAGCCAAGGTTTCTTGCTGGCACAGTATTTTTCTTTAGCCTGTGTGAAAAAAGTTGGTAGTTCCATTTCCTCCGGTGCATAAGTCACATTGTTTTCCCCAAAGCTTTCCCAGGTGTGTCTTATACAAAGGCACGACTTATATGCATTTTTTAATGAGTTTTTGTAAGTATTAATTTACAATTACGACAAGGATAGAATGACAGATCTGTCAGACCGATTTTTCAGATACCGTGGATCGAAGTTCCCTCATAATTTAAGCCTGGCAATATGGCAGCTTCCTGTAGAAGCAGCAGCTGGCACATTAACGACTTGCCACCAAATTTATGCCACGCATCCTGATGCACGTAAAACGAAGAGAACAGATGTTCTAAGACTTAAAGGACACACGCAAAGAAAAAAAAAAAAAAAAAACATTTTTTTAAACAGTTTAGATGGAAAAAGGATGTCATAAAACAATTTTACAACGAAGAAAAAAAATTTAGAGCTATATTCACGGCGCTATACAAATTGGTAGGTTGCACCCGCGGGTGCCGTGGAAAAGTGGCCCTTATTTATCACGTGACTGGTCTTTATTTATTACGAGGTGTTTGCGCTCTTTCGAAAGCTTTCTATGGTCTTTAAAAGTTACTTATTTTCTTTATTTTTTTGTTGCACTTATTTTTTAACAAAATATTTTGTCTTTTCAGAAACATCAGGTATAAGAAAATCGTCACTTCCGTTTTGACGCATACGAAAACAAACAGACTCCGCCATTTTCTCTGCGAAGAGGCACGGAGCACGGTGTTGTTTTCGACATGTCGGTTCAACCAAAGCGCCGCCGCTGCTCAACGAAAGGCTGCAGTTCTCGTGATCGTGACCGGGGGCCCTATGTTGCACGTTTTGGACTCCCACGGCGACTATGGAGAAGGAAGTGACGTCAACAACGCAACAAACGCAGACTGGATGTTGATTTTGTTTTCTTCTGTCAACATCCATGTTTGATCTTCTTTTCTTCTGTCAACATCCAATCTTCGACGTCACTTCCTTCTCCCTAGTCACCGTCGGAGTCCAAAACGTGCAACATAGGGCCGATTTCAGTACTCGTATGGTACCGGTGGGAGCTGCGACCCGCCGGTAACACTGTCCGCAGGCACATCGCTGGCCTCGGAGCTTTCCGGAGGGGGGTTCGCTGGTCTGCGAGGCGTGTCCTCGAAGGGGTGAAGCCCTAACTGCCTGGTCCGGTCGAGAAGTCTGCGCTTCAACTCAGGATTCATCGAAAAAGACGCGGAGGAGACTACCACCGCTTCCACCACCAGCACACACACCAAACAACACAGCGCCCGCGGCGCGCGCCGAAGTTGAGCGGAAGTTGCACGAGGCTTGCATACGTTTTTTAGCCGAGCAGCCAATCCAATCCAAGCGGCTTACCTCTCCCGCTCCTCCCCGCGGAGCGCACAGGCGAGAGAGCGAAAAGTGGAAAGGAGGAGCGTTACACCTCGCTTGACAAAAAATCATCTCGTGCCGTAAATATAGCTCTAAAAGATTTTTTTTCTTCATTGTAAAATCGTTTTATGACATGCTGTTAAAAAAAGTTTTTTTCCTTTGCATGTGTGAACACTGACTGCTGACTGTGATTTCTTGAAACACGTCACTGGAGAAACTTACGTTATCGCTGTTTGGTGTCGAGGTCATAGCTACGGTTATGGCCTCAAAAGCAAGCACTGGTAACCCAAACAAACCAGACAGTGATTGTGCAATATTTGCATGATTAAATCTATGCACTACCTTTGGTAATTGGTCGTTTATAGCACTCTCGGACGTAATTCATTCTTTTGGTGCAAGAATGATGCGCACAAAATTAGAAAATATATGCGGGCCGGAAGTGTGCCAGGGCTACTCAACAGATGGCGCCACTGAGTTTGTGGCCAAACAAAAAAAACGGTGAATATGTGCTCGGCTAGTTCTATCCACAAGCACTTCCAGAGGGCATTCCAACAGACACGCCGGGACCCATTGTGTTACCTCCAAACGGACCTGATTAGAGGGAGATAGAGCGAGTTTGGAAACGTTTTGATACCACTTCATAGTATTTTTCTGAGAGCGGAGGGACCTGAAGTGGGTGCATGACACTCATGGGCAAAGCTTCTACCGCATACCTAAGCTGTCACCGACCACTATGGCTAAGTGGAGCTAACACAATGTGTATGACTTTTTTGAGGCCAGACTGAGCACATGTTCTAGTTATGCACTCTCAAACAACAACTAACCCTTCAGCCCAGGTCACACTGCTTATATGTGACACAAAGGTAGTATGCATACAGATTCTAACACAAGTCATCGCGAGTTCCGTGCTTCGAATGTTGCATGGCAATGAGTTAAAGGACAATCTTGGAACGCAGCATTCAAACCACGGATATTGCGGCGACTCATGTTTGCCAGCTGTCTTTTGTATGATATATGAGCAGCATGACCCTGGCTTTAGGTTATTGATAATATCTTGCATGTCAGTGCTTACCGAACTCTGGTTCCCTGCAACCCATCAAAAATATGAAATTTCACCTCACGAACCCCCTTCCAGCTTTTCGCAATTCCACAATCTTTTTAATTCGCATGAGCAGTAAAACACAAAATTGACACTGTCATTTTATTTGACAAGTAAGATAGTCAGGGTGAATTGGGTAGGCTAGAAACCATCGCAAGAAGTAAAAGACGCTTGCCAGGAGAAATGACAGTTCGTAACGCTGAGGTTTTAAGAGCACAATGGACGTTTTTCCAGTAAGCTTCTGCACATGCATACACTCCCGCTGTCGCCATTTTTGCGAGACACCAGGACGCAGTGCCCTGCGAAAATGGCGACAGCAACATTGTCAACATCTATCTTTGCGCATATTTAATCTATTTTGACGCTTTGTTATTTAGTACCGGCAGTATGGAGTATAAAAAGCACTGAAAACCGATACAACAGCACAATGTCAATGTGTTTTGACGGGCAAAAGCATGCTGGGCTGCTCTTCTATTGTAGTTCGCAAACAACTGCCCACACGGCGCTTCTTACTCGAAAAAGGCAGAGCCGTATATTGGGAGGGTCTGGCCAGGGGGTATGGCGACCAAGGCGCTGGAGAGGAGAAAAGTGGAGGAAAGGGAGGAGAGCACCAAAGGAGCGAGAGAGGAAGGAGAGAGCAAAGAGGAGACGACTGCCATTTTGACGCAACACGCTTTCTGTACAGACCACTGTTGAAGTTATGCGTCGTCTGCTACGAGTCAACTTTTTTTCCGCCCGAATAAAAGTTTGCGGTTAGACGTCGATAAAACTTCATTCAATAGCTTGTTAACCCACAGAGGAATAACAATTTATCATTTTCTTACCACAGCCTCCGATATAAAACAAAAGAACCGAAATTTAGATGCCGATCCCATGCATTCCACCGGGCAAATGAATGAAAATGGCGACCTTCCCCGCTCAGCTGGGAGTTCACGCCTCTCGCTCCGCACCGTGGACTGATTGGTTCACTCGGGATCAGGGCGTTGTGGCGGCGAGATCATAGACTGGCCACACTCTCCCTATATACGGCTCTGGAAAAAGGTATATTTTTCTCGAGGAGAGCGAAGTTTGGTCACCGCAACTCTCAGTTACAGATTAATGCAAAACTGAAATCTGTGCATTGTTTTCATAAATACCACCGCAGAGAAGCAAATTTCACTTTATTTCATGTTCACGAGCCACCTTGCGACCCCCCACAGAACCTGTTGGGGCCCCACTTGGGGCCACGACCTACGGTTTGGGAAATACTGTTGTTCGTACTTACCCCGTACTCTTCAGCTTTTGGTCCTTGAAGTCACTCTCTTGGAAGTGATCGGAGCACACACGATACTTTCGGTAAAAGGGTTCCGATCCATGTTCTTTAAAAGTGACGCATAGATCTGCACGTTTGCACAGAGTTATCCATTTCAGGCATCTGGAATGACAAACACCACAAATTTATTTGGATGGGAACAAGTCGGCACTATGCAAAAGAAGATCATGCAAGTTGTCTACTTACAAGTCTGGGTCCCGAGGGAAACGAAAGAAGGAAAGCGTTTTTCTGTGCATAGAGCGGTTCTTGCAGGAGCGAACGGCACATACAGAACCCATTATGTTCACACGCACTTGCACCTTGTCGCGCCCTGGCGCTGCGAGCACTGCGGGCACGAAAACGAACACCGAGTACTCTGCACTGCTAGGGGAGGATTTGGCATAGCAGCCGTTGCAGCGTAGAGGCCCTTTATCGTCGTGTGGTCTGATGCAAATGACGGTATTACAAGGTCGACTCGTCGATCACACTGTTCGTATCACCACCTCTCGAGACGAGCTTATTCAACCTTCGATTGGTCACTTTTACAATCGGATTTCGTGTCAACCTGTTCGTGAAGAGCTCACTTCTAAATGCTCCGCGCACAAGCGCTTCTCACGTACCGTGGAAGCGTGGCCGATTCGAGTAGTGTGTCTGGTGTGTCTACTTGTCAGACCAGCAGGAGGAGATACGAATGACATCATGCATTCAGAGAACACGCACAGACGCATCCGTAGGGAGGTTTAATGGTTAGGTGAGGCGTTCGCGGTTACCGTGGTTACCGTGCCAACCGTGCCTCGTTGGCCTTGTACCTTGCGATTCTTGTTTTTTTTAACTAATTTTTTAAACGTGCACATATCGGTAATATCTCCTGGAACTACGGACGCAAATACAACAGAATAAAAGCGCGGCAACCGATGCAACCAGCAGCAACCAGTGGATGCAACCACTGATATGTCTGCAACCGAGAGCAGAGCGCACCGTCATTTATCATCATCATCATCATCATTTTTACATCGACACGAGCGCTATCTTGCGCCAGCTGGCTCAGCCGGCTCCAGCCAGGCTCAACTGGCTCAACGATAAACAAAAAAAGTTTGTTAGTGCGGTAAGCCAGCGTGCTCGTCATTTTTTTGTTTGAAATAAGCGCTTTAGTACAGGACCCAAGATGGGAAATTGGCAGTTGGAAGTGTTCAAGATGGCCATGTACATCTCTTTCCCGGTGGGACTGTTCTACGTGTTCAACCAGCCCCAGTTCTTCGAGGAGTGGGTCGTGAAAACCAAGCGCGAGTGCTACCCTCCGCAGGACATGGAGACTGATCGTGAGATCAAGGCCTACATGGAAACGGTGAAGGCAAAAAGGAAACAGGAACTACTCAAAGAACTGGAGAGCAACTGAGGACCGAATGTGTGCGACGAACGGAACATGTGAATGCTGTGCACCTGTGTCGTGCGGGGTCGCTAGAAGGCGTGTGCGGTCACATCGTGGTGTGGACCTCGTTGAATAGAACCATTGAGTAGAACCAAGAATGCCCGACACCATACTGACCATATGCCTGGCATTGTTCAGCCTTGGACATCATAGGGGTTAATTAAAATCAATCCTGCGTTTTCACTCCGGCTCATCCTAAAGGTGATTTAAATGGGCAAAAAAGGAAAACCTCTACTGTAGTCAACTGTAGATACACAGTAGGTTCTATTACACCAATGATGCTACCCACCTGTAGGGTGTTTCACCATGACGCTACGGTGTCAGGCTGCTACCTTTTTTGCCATAAAACAATCTAATACTCTTCACAGGTGTCAACTGCAAATATTCACTGACGTGAGAGAATGTTCTAGATTTCCCACACTCACATTTAAAATCTTTCAGGTGCCTTCTCTGCACAGAAAAGGAGAAAGCCTTTGTAATGTCAGAATATTATCTGCACCTCAATCAATAGATCGCCTCTCTGCAGTCCAAGGGTAACAACAGCAAGGAAACAACATTTGTGGAGTGTGTACACAGGTAGAAACAGAGAGGAGATGGCAGCGTGCAGGGATGCCAGAGCGCCAAGCTCTCGGTGAAATGATTAGTGGGCAACATATAAGATGCAAAGCTAGCAGCCTTCGCCCCTTTTGTGAGTCGTGGATTATGAATGGCAGTGTACGCACTGTGAGGACACTCACGGGCCATGCGTCTTTACCAAAAGCACTGATCGGTGCCTTTTGTGAGTCATGGATCATGAGCGGTAGTTTGTGCAGTGTGAGGACATTCATGGGCCATCAGTTACTCACAAAGCACACTGCCACGAGGGTTGTTTCCCTGCTAATTGGCCTGTCCCCATAACTTGGTTCTGCTGAGTGGTAATCGCCAGACTTCTCACTAGAACAAAAAAAAAAAAGCTAATAATTGTTTTAATGCAAACCAGTAAAAATTAAAAAAAAAGAAAGGCTAAATATGTTCACCAGCACGCTTGCAGGCGACTTTACAAAAACGAAAAGGGGAGCTTGTGAGACAACCTTGTAGCAGACTAGTGACACCCTCTTTCTTATAGGTCTTTATTGTTCTCTACCGTGACACTCACAACACCACACGTCCAGCGGTTCATCTGCTCCGGAAACCTTCTTCAAGGTCCAAATAGAAAGCTCTCTATGTGCATATGTTACAAGATGGAGCTGCGCAGCCGCAAGTCGCTTCATCGTCCGGAACCTCCGCTGCCCTGGCCCTCCGGATTCGAGACGCCGGAGATCAGCAGAAAGATGAGCAGCGGCATGATGTACATCCACTGCAATCACAAGCGTGGGACAACACAGACATGTAACAGTTTTGTCACTCTGAACCCCACCATTGCTGTAAAATGTATTTAGTTAAACATGTCAGCAAAGTGAGATCAAATTGGAGTGCTCTATGTGCCAAACCGACGAAGGGCGTCTGGCACGCCTTGGCAGAAGACGGGACTAAATTTCAACCACCTGAGGATCTTTAGACGCGTGACCGAAATCCTGGTTTCTCCGCAATAGGCCTCCGTCTGATTGCGGGCGCCTCAGCCGGGACTTGAACCCGCTACCTGGGGATTCGTGGCTTTGCCTCGGAGCCACCGAGGCGTCAACAATGTTGACAAAAAGCTTTAAGCTCGAGCAAATAGGACAGTAGAAGATGCTCCAAGTCACGTCAGTTGTGTTTGCAGTCCAGTTGTACTCGTTCTTTGCAATCACTAATATTCTTACACATCTATCGAAAAGGGACTTCTGTTGCACCCACACGCTCTGCCTTCAGTCATGTAGGAGTGCCCAATCAACCTCCTGAGACGGCCCTTGGCGCAAGCATTCTGCAAGCAATGGCCAAGTGAACCGAGAGGCGCTGCTAGCTTCTTACGCGGTTCGAGACAAGAACATCGCGTGTCATGTATTTGAGGCTGCAAAACTTTCGAGACGTCATTTGCTATAGTCATCGACAGAGCGGGAACGGCATCGCATGTCTTTAGAAAGCCCTGCCTCCAGCAGGCACTTACCATTATGCTTTGACTTCGTGCCATCCACCATGCTTTGACTGTGTGCGCGCGCTCAATGTGCATGAGACGGACGGATGCATGGATGGATGTTAATCTCTTTGTAACGGGCAGTAGCTTGCGCCACATCGCCTAAGTCTAAAAACTGGCCGCATCTCCACGTGGTGAATGATGTTGATTGGGGCGAAGCTCTGGTGGTGCTTGTCTGCGTAGACGCTGAGCCGCAGCATGCCGAGCCTTTCGTTTGTTTTCATCCATGTCAGAAAGAGAATGTGTGGTATGGAACGCGATTATATACGCATTTGACCGCAGCGCCCTCTCCTGTATAGACGTTGAGTGGCTACATGCAACGTTTCATCCATGACATCCCCAGCTCTTGAGTTACTACCACATCTCAGAGCCCCCTACTCGTCCTGCAGTCGTGGCCGAGTGGTTAAGGCGACGAACTAGAAATCCATTGGGGTCTCACCGCACAGGTTCGAATCCTGTCGACTGTGCAAACATTTTTTTTCATCATTTTTTTTTTCCCTACACGAGCACATGAGCTCACGATCACGAGCACGAGCACCAGCAAGATCGATGCCAGCACGAACGCCGGACGGACAAGGCTAGACCCTAAGGAGCTTTGCCCCTAAAAGACATTGCAGCGTTGTCCAAGATTGTGAGGTCGTGATGGAGGCAGAACGACTGAAGCTCCTCCTTGCCGTTTTCACCCTCTCGGTGACTATAGACCGACACACTGTTTACAAACAAGCCAGTGTGTGCCCACACCAGGTGTGGGCACTGCACGAGTGCAGAAACCAGATTCACGTGAGGTGAAGCTTCTGCGCATGCGCCGTGGCGACAACAGCGCCACCGCAGAGGCGTGAGGTCAAAGCCACATGTTGGTCTATAGTATTTACCCTCTCCAGAGCAGAAAAATGCTACCATGACGCCGTAATTATACGGTGGTCAAGTAGCCTTCCCCTCGTAACCGGAGAGTTGTTATTTGTGATGGGCTTACACCTAGAGCCAATCGGGTGGGAAGGAAAGGCTTGTATCAGCTCTAACGCCAATTGTGTCCTTGTCCCTCGTACTCGGTGACTTCAGAATTTGTCTAGTATGAATGTCATACATTCAGAGTGGAAACAAAATCATGATTATTTTGTATGTAAATAAATTAAATCAGATTTATATGATTTAATGGGACCAATTTGATTTAAATCACTGTCACTAGGAAATAGTTACTCTTTATCACTGCATGTATTTTTATACACGGTAAATTGATTACTCAACCCGTCCGATCACTGATGACAATATGGAAGAAAGAATCACCGTAAATTTAAAGTACACTCCAATTAACAACTTTTTATTGATGTGACCCCCACCAACTACAAAGGGGGTCTCCAAACTTTCGGCTAAGGGGCCAGATCGGGGGCCGGTAGCAGTCGTGGGGGCCAGAATATAAATATGTAAATTGAAAGTATAAAAAATTAAATAAAGAGTTCCTGTCATTTCTGCTATCTTCATGCGCGTTTGGTGTGCGTTGCAGTGCCGTTTTGTCTACAGAAGCTTATTTTTGCGCCAATAGCAGCAGGCTTGCTGGAAGCGGGCAGCAGGAAGAGCATCGCTGACCCGCGGGCCTGGGTTTGGGGACCCCTGAACTAGAACAAAAACAGCTCGATTTTCTTGGACTAGAACAAAAACAGCTCGATTTTCTTGGACTAGAACAAAAACAGCTCGATTTTCTTGGTCAGATATAAAGCTTTTTTCTTTTACTTTCACATTCTGATTTGTTTGCAATTTTCTAGTTTTTGTCCCTTCCTTTCATGTTCCAACTTGCTTGAAATATGACATTACGTAACTGACAAACAAAGTGAAGGTAGAAAGAAAACTCAGTGCTCCAATTTGCTCAGGAGAGCACCGCTTTTTCCTTGTGCTCAGCCTGATATAAATCTTTCTGGCTCGATAATTCTTCGATCTCAGAACAAAACAAAATGCACATTGAAAGAATCAAACGATAGACAAACAATAAATAAAAACTAAACAATGTTTATGGTTATTTTTGTGGGAAAGGTTCAATTTAAATCTCCATAGCAAAACTGGTCCGATTTAAATCCCGATTTAAACTATTTTGATTTTTTTCTTCACCCTGCATACATCAAGTTGCAGCCATAAAAAGGCAAAGTCAGACATCTCTCTAGTTTCTCCCTAAGAATGAGAACCCCCTCCCCTCCCCCCCCCCCCCCCCTCCCAATTTGAGATGTCGCACAACACCTTCTAGGAGGGGACTTACGTATTTGGCGAAGAAGGATCGGTTGTCTCCACTGTCCCCCCTTGCCTTGTCTGCCTTCTCTTGTTCCAGCCGTCTAATGTATGTCTGTGTGTCCGGTCTGAAAAGGGGCAGCACACAAAACCCACGAAATTATAGCGTCACTTAAAACTCCGACAGTTCTTACATTAATGGGATATGACTGGCTCTGTGTAACTCACCAGACAACCTTCAAGGTTATCCACCGAACCCTGCCTTCAGAACTGCTCGAGTACCAAAATATGTCACCGCTGCTTGCGTGCATAGTTTAGAGGGTGCAGAAACGTGCCGCCCCACAACAACCGCTAAAACTACGGGGTGTTCTAGAGCGCTATTCGGGCGTGAAAATTGTTTTTTTATAAATAAGCCAATGAGCGGAGTTCGCTGGAACTTTTCACAAAGGTGTGATTAGGTGGTGCGTTGACCATACTCAGTGTAAGTATGCGAAAAAATTTTAGCCTAAAAAAACCTGTTTTTCTTTTATGTGAAGAAGGAAACAGCAAAAACCTTCTCGTTGACTCTGCCAGTCACAGATGGCGCAACATAAAGTAAAAAACATGAGAGCATCTTCAAGATGAACACCCGAAAGCAGAGTCAACCAGACTATTTTTGGGATTTTCATCTCTGCACAGGAAAAAAAAAACAGGTTTCCTTAGGCTTATCTTTTTCTCCTGAAACTTACACTGATAAAATTTGGATACGATAAATATGCACCACCTAAAGACACCTCTGAATTTTTCACACCCGAATAGCGCTCGGAAACACCCCATGTAAATGCATGCGGGAAGAAACCAGTTTTCCATTCCAGTTTGTCATAATTTAGCGATCTCAAAGTGGAATCGCGAAAGTGCACCGTCGAAGTTGGCAAAAGATGGCACCGAGAAAGACCCCAGTTGGACGTCGTCAACAAATCTTGACATATTCACGGGCTGCCGGATTGCTTGCAACCCGAAAGCGAGCAGCCCGCAAGTGAAAGTTGCACGCAACCCTCGAGCCTCAGTTTGCTTGGATCCGAGACATAGATGGACTCTTTCAAAGTTCGAGAGACGTGGGGGTGTCACTCACGCAGGGGCGAGGTTGACCAGGGACACTGTGAGGGTCGTGTTAAAGGAGGCCAGCCTGTAGTCCGGCACATGGGAGCCCTCGCACTGCTGGCCGCTGAAAACCGTGGTGCCTAGCAGAGCTCCGTTGCGGTCCAGCGTGAGGGTCAGCGAGTCCGTGAGCCCAGATTCGTACACCGAACACTGCGATCCAAGAGACGTACGAGCGCTTCAGACGGCTGCAAAATTTACAACTCGAGCGGGGGAAGAGGGATCGGCAGCCGAGCGCACATGAAGCAGAAGCTGCTTTAGAATCCAGGGATCTTGAGTTCGTTCTCTACCCTTGCCCGTTTCGATCCCAATGAGCGTCGTACCGGAGTGGCGTCACGTGTCGCCGCCGGATGATGCATGTCAAAAAACCCGCGGGAGCAGTGGTACTTGTATTGGCTAAATTTTTTATTTACAGCAGAGACACCAGACGCTCAATGGGGCTGAATAACCCCCTTGTCTAAACAAACGCACAACAGAAATGCATACTTGCCAATGTGGAAGAAACCAAATCCTGAAGATTTTCACTACATTTGTGTTGCACTGCTCATGCCAGCGAAATACAGCTGGGCCTCGCTATCAATTCTGCCGTCCGTTGTGATGGCGAAAACGCCTTGTTTAAATGCAGGGAGGGGGGTTAACTTGCGTTTTCCGGAACCACAGACTTTTGTTTGAAATATCAGATGTTTGAATTATCAGAAATTCATCAAAATAAATTTTTAATCAAATAGTGAATAGTTTCTCAAAGCCTTCTACTGCCATTGTACCGTGCTTGAATGAAAATTCAGCTGAACTCATGAAGGTTGTTCCCAGCCTTCCACTCGTCCACTTCTGAGCTCAGTTAGTTTTAATATAACTACAGTAATCCCTCGTTATAACGAAGTCAATGGGACGGCAGAAAATTCGGTGTAAGTGGGATTTTCAGCAAAAGCGAGAGAGCCAAATAAACAGCGCCAGCAGCCTTGAAGGTGGATTGAACACTGCGGACCACTCAAACCTTGGTTATGGAAAACAAGCGGCAGCTTTACCGAGTAGAAAATAATCTCCTCAAACTGCTCCAGGCATCGCAAGAACACTGTCATCGCTGCTGCACTCCACTTTGTCTCAAAGCAGCCGTAGGATGTTTCGCGTCTCCGCAGTCGTCAGCGTTTCCTGAGGTGCCTCTCCGAAGTCGCTTCGTGTCTACCCTGGCAGCACGCAAGATGTACGATCGCAGCATCCGTGGCAGGAGCGATAACGGGAACATCCACATCGACAAGCGCGAAGAATCAAAGCTATCCTTGGTGGCTTCGCCAACATGGTTTCACATACTCCTGTAGAGATCCTTGCAGCTCTGGGAAACGTGCGCCGACTCAGCAAGCAAGCTCGCGAGAGAAAATTCGACGTGCGCAAAGCAGTTGGCGATCTTGCATCTTCGGGTCGTGGGCTCGCTTTCTCTTGCATGAGGAACTTCTCGAACCGATCCACGCTTGTTCTGCAAAACGGTGGACAGTGTCGAACAGCCAATAAAAATAAATAAAAAATGTTAAATTCTTTGGCGATTTTGGACTTGAACTGACCACATGTCTCAACCTCACAGATCTAACTTTTGGTAAACATCCTCACACTCCCATACGACGGATGTGTGCGTGTATGTATGCCGCAAGCACGCCCGCGCAGGCGCGCGCGTTAGGGGCTTTCGGAGGAATGACCTCCTCCAAGCTCCATCGGCTCCATCGCTCTCTTGACCCGATTCCGATAGGAGCTGGGCAGTGTCGGTCGCAGGCGCCGTGAGTAGCGTCGGAACGTGGATGCTGTTCCCGCTGCCCTGCCCGCATCGGCACATCAGCATAGTAGCGGCCCTCTCCATCACCTGTCTGCTCCGTTTTCTTGTTTGCCGTTTGCCTCGGTGGAGAACGGGGAGGGAGCGCAAAGGTTTCCGTGCACCTCTGTGTAGGCTTGAGTGCTTTCAGCACCGTGGCTTTAGTAATAGGCGTGGTCGGCCGCCGACGCACTTCGAATGATTCGGTTTAAAATGCATGCATTTCGGTCGGGACCACGTTAAACTTCCAATAAAAGCGATAATTTGACAAAAGTGGTTTCGTTATAACGAGGAATTGCAGTATGTCTATGAATTGTGGCCTCGGAAAGTCCACTGTCTACATTGGGGTAGCATATGAATGACAGATTTGACATAAAATTAAACCTAAAGAGATGCTTAGCTATCCTAATGGAGGGAATTCATAAATCTGCTTGCTATATGCAAATATTCTTACCTTAATCTCGAATTTAACCCCCCCCCCCTTCCCTTCCAGTAAAATAAAAAAGAAGCACGAATAGTGAAACCAGACTGTCAGGACAGTTCTGCTTGCATAAGCGCGGTGGGTTCAGGCCTGACCACATTAGCGGCAACGCCGGCACCGATCAGCGCCGCTGGGCGGCACCACCAACCGGCGTCCCAACATGAAGAGGCCACCTTGGCCTCCGTTTTGCGGTTGTTATAGTAGCATGTTAGCACTGGCTCTCACCTAACTCTCGCATTCTCGAGATCGCGCGAGCGTGCAGGGCGCTCAAAATGGGTGTTTATCAGAACAAAACAGGTCCCGTATCGTCGAATTCTTTTCTTAATGCAACAGATTCCTGTGATTCGGCATCACTTAGACACAGGCATAGTTCACTGCACCAACAGCATGCAGAAATAGAGGTGCTAGATGCGGCTTTAGTGTTATTGCATATGCACTCCGTCAGCTTTGGATGAGACTGCTTTCCAGTGGGACTGCTCCAAGGGTGTCTGCAAACACCCCCGAGATGGTCGGTAGTCACCCCGATGGCTGTTTGGTGTCTCAGCTGTTGATGATATAGTTTGCCAGTGAAGCGCAACTGCCAGCCTACGCATCATGCAGTATTAATACATGACCGCACGCCGGTACGACGCTCGACCAGGTCGAACCAAGCAGGGGCGGGGATCGAACCTAGGATCCCCGGGTCCTGCAGCGCGAGCTTTTCCTCTGCGCGCTCGGCCCCATTACCGATTGGCTGAACGCAGCAACAAACAAACAACACAATAATTTGACACATGCTTCTTGAGCACCGGAAAAGATCCTAAAATAAAACGAATAAGAAAAAGAGTACAAGAAAGCGGACTTACGGCTTTCATGAATGATGACACAGTCGCTCGAGGGTCCTCAGACTGATGGTCAACCACCTGGATTCTGTACAGTCCGTTGTTCTCTGCCAGTCTCTACAGAACAAAGGCAGATGGACATTGCAATCACATAGTGGTATCAGGTCCTGTAGTAGTGCTAGCTAGAGTATACAAAGTTTCAGAATTCGAGCTACTGCGCTTCCGGAATGTCCCCGAGGCGACGGTGTACGCTCGTTGCCGCTATATAAGCTTTGCTTAGAGCATCGGCACTTCATTCCCCAATTGTCTTGGTGAAGAGCGGGAGCAGTCGGTGACAATTACCCTTTGAATATGCAACATCCCGAGCTCTAGGTACCTGTTGAAAAGCCTTGTTCTGTCCTGGATCATTCTGACCCTTTGGGGGTCATCTGTCGGGTATCTCCCGCAAATAAATATTCCCGTTCTGGACAAGTGTCGAGGCTCCCCCAACAGGCCCATTTCTCCTTTGCGGCCAAGCGTCGGCGCTTCTGACAATTTAAACTTGTGCCATCTCTTATCGGGTACGTAAACTATGCATACTTATGGTACATAATTTTTTGTCCCTCCAAGAAATGCCGTAAGAGACACGACACATTTTTTTTTTTTGCTAGATGTGCGGGCGGAAGTTTCGCGTGTGCTTGTGGGGGTTTAACGTGGCAAGTTTTTACTCCGTCTGCGTTTTAGGAACTGCGGAGTCTGCAGTGAGAGGAAAGTCAAGGGCAAAGACGTGAAACTGTTTTCTACTGTAAAACCTGCACTCGACACTCCGGCTTGCACCCCATTTGCTTTGAAAAGTATTGTACGCTGCGCAACTACCGCTAGTAAATAATTCAAAAGAAAACATTCAGGACCATTCAGAGTTATTTCAAACAGAGCATATTGATTGTAGTATATTAAAGAGGTGTATCTGAAGTCACTTATTGATTTGATATTTTTTTGCTTAAATTAATCCTGACTAGAGGGGAATACAAGTGGAAAACTCACATGATTCCAAAAGGCTAAGATTTCTAGGAAATGGAAAAGAGTCTTCCGGAATTTCAGATAAAGATTTGGATAACTGGCTACAATGATTTTAAGCACCAAGATTGGTGGTTAAAACTTACAAAAAGAGAGAGGGGAAAGAAATCGGGGGATGCGGGTGGGAAAGATCATACTTTCCGTTTCTAGGCTAGCTGGCGCAAGCTACCGTCCGTCATAAAGGGTACAGCTGTCAGCATCCATCTATCCATTCATTGCTGATGTGTCTTTACTCTGAAGCTTAGCTCGTATGGAGCTTCTATTGCATACAAGGGAAGCACTAAGTACCAAAAATGACTAAACATTGCAAGTGGTGTCAGCGTCTACGACACACTATACATGTGAAGGCCTTTATCCGATTGCAGGCACATTGGTGTTTTGAAAACAAAAATGCAAAAGGGGCACAGAGAGGGTGGGCTTCACCGCTTTGCACTGAAGAGCTTGTAAAAGTGGTCGACGAGGAAGTGCAGCTCGGTTAGCTAAGAAGGCTCGGAAGTTTCACGACATGCACTTCGCTTAGTTTTCAAATATATTCCGAAAGTAGCGAACGAGGGCTTATTGTGACCTGGGTGCGCCCTCAATGTTTTAAGGTGCGTCTAGCGAGGGTTCTGTGCCATGGCCATTTATCTGGAATTCTTTCATCTCAAGTGGCTAACACGCAAAGTTTACAAACCCTCAGCTTCGCCACGTCGGCCGTCGAAAGAGGCACTTGATGCAGGACGCTGTCTTCCGTCCGTGCCAAGGGAATCGTCACGGTGCCCCGAGGCAGGTACACAGGGTCTGGACCTTCGAAGCAAAATAAATGGAAATAACCGGGTTTCCAAAGGGTAACGGAATGTTGCTGGTTCGTACACAAAACAAGCTGTCTTGGTGCCCGGCAGCGTGAGATTTTCAAACCAGCAAATACTTATAGTTTCCAACAGCTTAAGAAACGCAGGGCATGATTTGTTTATACACGCTTCCTGCTTTGCGATTCGTTCTTCGGTGTTCTTGTCGACAAATGCCGCAATCTCATTGTCTGCAGAAAGATAATAAGAGGCTCAAGGTGGGCCGCCGCCCCGCCCCCGCCCCCCGCCCCCAAAAAACATTTAAAGGGACATCGCAACGATTTTCGGACTTTGGCTGATTAACTGAAAGAATTAACCTGCGTTACCCGTGAAGCGAAGAACAGAAAACCATCTCTTCCTGCGCATGCAAGATTTTTATTTTAAAATATAAAATGAATTGAATGTCAGACGGCCCCCTCGACTCTCACGCCGTCTTTCGCATGACATCTCTGGGGGACCACCCGGTTTCCTTTGGATTCTGTCTTCGGAGCACCCAACCGCTTCCTCCGCGACTGTTGATTTTTCGAGGATTAGCATTGCCAGAGGTCTCGGCGAACGATCAACGCAAAAGTCGGTTCACCACGGGGTCTGCCGGCGAATGTGGCGGCGGAGGGAGACAGGTTTTATTGACTTCCGTGCGTCCCCCTGCGACGTGCCATCGTAGTTCCCGTAATTGCCAAACGCGGCTGCAGATGGGCAAATAATTCATATTTTGCTTTGCGATTATGCGGGGGTACATCACTTTTTTTCTGGAGAAGGTGGCGCATTTTTTCTCACTTGCTCTTAGATAAACAATATAAAAAATACACACTGCAATTTTTTTCAACAATAAAATTGTTGCACCGCTTCTTTAAACTGCGAGTAACTCTAGCGGGTGTTTAATTGGAAAGGAATGTGGGTGTGGGGCTCGTAAGGAATAGCTCTGGCTCGTATTGGTCAGTGCATTACAAAACTCGACGTGGAAAAAAATGGCCCAGCCAAAGTTCGCGATTGATAGTATCATTCACACCGGATCCGTAGAGCCCTTCGCAGCTGCTTTAGGCAATCAGATCATATAATAAATTCATTCTATTTTTTTTTTACATACATATGTACTGCCATACTCTTTTAACTCTTGTCAGTACGTTGGTCATTGTATACTTTATTTACCTATGCACTGCTATTTATTATGCTTCATCTGAGCATCTTCACATATGTATATCAGTATTTGTCCAGCTACTTTTGCTGTACACATTCATCTGTTAAGCTAAATAACTTGCATCCGCTCACTTGCACCGTAAACTGTATGCCTTCTTAAATATACAGTCCTGTGACCATTCTACCGAAATTCCAGATATGAAATAGAAGTATTCCTAAATAATACATAAAAAAAAAAAGCAACACCATTTGTTATGACTGCGATATCCATTCAGAAAGACTCTTTAGGCCCCTGCAATGTGTATACCTACGTCATTGAAGGTTTTGTTACGACCAACAGTGAAGTATTCTAACGCAAAACGTTACTCACCATCATCAAGTGAATGGTGTATGCTGAACGTCAGTTGCTTGTCTTCCAAATCGTTCTGTAAAGTATCGGAAGCAAACCGAAGTCTATAAGTAACTGAATTCAGCTACAGGAGATATTTAGATCCCCACAGCCGCATAAAAATGACGCGAGTCAGCACGTTTTAACTCAAAGCAGGAAGCCGCGTGACAAAGCAATTCTCCAAACAGCGAGAACGCCATCCGATACATCTCGACCTTTAAACGCCTGTAAACAGCCTGAAGTGAGCTAGAGGCTACTGATTCTAAGAGTCTGTAAGAGAATTAGGATTACCGCATGAATTGATCTGGACAGAACAGCGAGAATTGCCGGCAGAATGAGTAGCGAGGTCATTTTGTACAAAAAACACAGAATTCAACACACATTAAAAAAATTATTTTTTTGAGAGCGGATTGGATTGGATAGAATTGGATAGTTATATTACTATGGTATCTACGTTGCCAGATAGGCTGCATTTTCGTGCTGAACTTAGTTCGTGCTTTACAAAACCCACTAGGAGAGAGAGAGAGAGAGAGAGTACAAGCGGAAGACTGCGGCGCGTGCGTTTCGTGTAGTAGCTCGTTCCGTCAGTTCCGTACAGTTCCAGAGATATGACCGATGGGTACCAGTTTATAAGGTTTATTTACAACGAGGATCAGGAGCAGACGACAGACGGTAACTGTAGGAACACTCGTTATCGTTATGGTAGATACTGCGCAGCTCTGTGGTGCGCGAACACTAGCCTCAATTCTGATGTGTCCTTCTTTAGTTTCCCTACGGATGCTAGGTAAGTGTCTTTTTGTTTTCTTTTATTCCTCGGTGCCCTGAAAATGTATTATATCACTCGTCCCTACTTCTCCAGGCTCGAGAAGTGGATACACTACTCGAATAGGCCACGTTTCCGTGAAGACTCGATGGTGACGATACGTGGGAGGCGCCTGTGCGCGGATCATTTCGGAGTGAGCGCTTTCACCAACCGGCTGACACGAAATCGGCTGAGGATAATCGCATGTCCGACTGTCAAAGTGACCAACCCAAGGCTGAAGAAGCTCGTCCCACCAGGTGATGATACGAACAGTGTCTGACGGGTCTACAGGGTCTACATTTTAACAGCTCATTTGCATTGGGCCACACGACGGCGCGACTGCCGCGCTAAATCCTCCCCTAGCGGTGCGGAGTACTCGGTGTCCGTTTTCGTGTTTGCAGCGCCAGGGCGCGGCACGGCGCCACAGGGCGTGAGAACAATGGGGTGGGGCGTTATGTGTGCCGTTCGCTCCTGCAACAATCGCTCTATGCACGGAAAACAGCTGTCCTTCTTTCGTTTCCCACGGGATCCACACTTGTAAGTAAACAACTTGCATGTTCTTCTTTTGTGTAGAGCTGACTCTTCGCCATTCGAATAGACATTCGGCATTTGTCGTTCCAGGTGCCGTGAATGGATAGCCCTCTGCAGACGTGCAGATCTAGACACCCTTTTTCAACAACATGGATCGGGACCCTTGAACCTAAGTTATCGTGTGTGCTCTGAGCACTTTCAAGAGCGTGACTACAGGAACCGAAATTTGAAGAGCCAGGGGTAAGCTCATGCAAAATATTACCGATGACTTAATGGGGCACTAGACCACTTTCTGCTATAGTCTATTTATGGTCATAACTTTAGTCTGTGAGCTCTAAGCATCATAAAAAACCAAACATTACATTCATGCGTGTGTTGGTGACCGGTTAAGTATGCAATAGAAGCTTCGCCGACAAGCAATTTGCACCACTTTTCCCCCACAAGTATCTCTCCATTCTCGAGAAAACAGTATGTCGTCTGCTCTGCAACATCGGCTTTATACAGAACCCTAGACAATGAAGGTGATGGCTGATAGGGCGATTTTTTAACTCGAGAGGTGGGTGGCAACAGAACACGACGCCTATACCTGGCTTACATTTCAATCGATCACGTAACAGTATCGATATATACTGTTACGACTTATTTTTCGCAAGCTCAGTATTTCGTGATTTAGGTCTGAGTTAAGGTTTTGGAATAATTTGCAAGTTCTATTTTTTGCGACGCAGTGGGATTCCAATATAGATTCCAATGTGTTTATACATTTTACCAAAATTGTTCGCGGGACCTATTTTTTGCGGATTGTAGGCGATTCGCAAAAATGAGGTCCTTGCGAAATTTAACTCGTTTACAGTATATACAAATAAATTATGTGGCTGATGTGTGGACCAGTGTTGTAGAAGGCTCAAGGCCGAGCACGTTTGGAAATATCCAAGAAGGTATTTCCCAATGCAACTCGCGAACAGATAACCATATAGCAGATTATGTCTCCTGTGGAAGCCATTTTTCGAAGAAAGAAGGCATCTTGATTGGGAGTACCTGACGCATTAAAATATAATATGAACACAAAATTTGACAGCCCCGTCGAGTCCGTTCAGATAAGATCAAACATGTAGGTCCGGTTCGCATTTTTGTTTTTCATATTTTTTTTTGTTATTCCCTAATATGTGGAGGAAACAAAATCACAAATGTTTTCTAAGAAAAAAAAAAAAAAAGTCGCTAAAGAAAAAAATAACATGACTGCCACGCACAAGACAGCAACGCCGTTTTCAGGCTTTTTCTGTTCTGTCAAGTTTGACTGCATGTAATACACCAACTAAAAATAGTTACTACATTCTTGAATGTTTACAGAGTTCTAAATATTATATATTGTGCGTACAAGTTTCACAGATGTGGCTGCTTTAACATTTTGACCCCATTTCTGTGACCTGTTATATCATTGTGTTTTAAGGATATTAAACAAACTTTTTTCATACGTCCTTCATATGACTCCTATCGAAAAATAAATTGTTGTCCTAGTTTATAATTCAAATTATTTACAGTGCTTCAAACATATTCCAAATTGGAAAGTTTCGCAACTTTAAAGTGCAATTAAAAAAAACAGAAACTTACATCCTTAAACTTTGGAGGAAATCACTCCTTTACACCCTCGTGAAGTTCCATTAAAAACATGTTGCATCATTTCGTCTCCATCAGAAGTACAGCGCTTTGAAGTGTACCTCCCCACGTTGACATTTTTGCCCAAGGCCACGGCCGCAGTGGCCGCCTTCCAATATTTTTTGTTTAGAACTTTTTACAATGTCCTGTTTTCTACTGGTGCGCATGTCCGAATTATACATCTGGACCACTCTAAATACGTCTATCACATAGCCAAGAAGCTCCCAACCCCAAACACACAAAAATGAAAAAAAAAAAAAATTGTTTTTAGATAGACAATGCTGGAAGAGCCAGGCTAGTAGGGTTTTTATTTATTTTTACATAAATAAATATTAGTGCTTTACGCTGAAGGGAAACTGCCCTGACCAACAAACTACCGGACCCACACGAGTCCACAAAGGGACTTGGTAACATAAGTTGACGATAATCGCCACCAAAATCAGTAACATAGATTATGAATGCGGCGGAGTTGACAAGACAAGGAGGATTAGGGGAAAAGGGGAGGTATAGGTTTGCGCACCCTGAGTGTAGCAACATTTGAGGAAGGGATAACATAAAGAATGGGCAGACGAAACTTACAACTAGCAACAACATTTATTGCTTCGTGAGTTTGTATATGTGTGAAATTAAAGAAAGGGAGGGGGAAAGGGTGAAAGTAGGAAAAACCAGAACCGGGAAATATTTCACCCCACGGCAAAGAGCGAGCGTCACCTCTTAAACAATGTTGCAATTTGGGGAATTGGAGAGAAGCTACTGCGACAGAAAGTTAATATCTTTCCTAGGCAGGCTTATCAAGGGCACACCGAAGTTGTCCTTGGAATGATGCATGGCGAACGCCTCCATAATCTCTCGGCGGTATCTGGATTCTCGTGGTGGACGAAAAGTCAACCGAGCAAGAACTGCAATCTGGCTTATGTTTAGCGATCGGGTGTTGACTGATCTCAGAGTCATCGGTGGTTCCCTTCCGTCATTTATGTTATCCCTTCCTGAAATCTGCATCCATTCCAAATACGCTCATTTAGTTACAGTGTAGCAAGCTGCGCCTTCAGTTTGGTATCGCAGCCGCCATCTCCCCATCTCTGCGTTCAGATTAGACTCCACCACGGCAAGTCTTTCATGGGCCGCTTTTAGAGCCAGCGGGTGGCCGCCAAAAACGAACTCTATCATGCGGCATCAAATAGCAAGTCAAAGTAAATGTGAGCCGCTCTAAACTGCACGCGTTTACGCTTGCGTGTATTGGTCGGACTGCGCACGTACGCACTCATTTCATACCTTGTGACTTTAAAACCAATAAAGTGAGAAGCATTTTCTCTCTCTCTCTGTCTCTCTCTGTTTCGGCGTCGGGCACAACAGGGTGAGTCCAGTAGCTGCGTGCGCAGTCCGATTAAAGCCAGCATACGCTTATTAGCATATGCTTTGCTAATACGTGTCGTGTCAGAACGGATTCTTCAGCTATGGCAGGGACTTACAGCGTCAGCAGAGTCTTTTGTGCTGACTATCTCAGCAAACACAAAAAGAAAGCTACAAAGGAGCGAAATTTTCGCAGTGTGCGAGATATTGGTGTCCACTCCCTGAAGAAGATTTTGCCCCAGGGGACATCTGGAGAAGTGAAGGAAACAGATTACCTGTGCCACCATAGTTTCCAGTATTTCAAAGCTGAAATACAAAGTGCACCAGAGAGCGCCGACGGTGGTGGGGAGGCGCATTTATCTCAGAAAGTGAGGCCATCGAGAAGCTGAATCGAAACGTACTGCCCACAAAAGTGTCACCACTCAAGCCACCAAGTCAAGGAGCAAGCCGTTGCAGAGAGTCCTGTGAAGAGGCCGTGGTTTCCGATGTTCGTACAAGAATTCAGACGGCCTACAGGACGTCCAACGTTTCAGGACCATTGCAAGATAAGTGCAATACGTGCAGCGAGTGGATGATCAGCTTTCGCGTGGCATACACTGCATGTGCTTCCCATCAGGAACGCTGCCATCTACTGACGCTCCTTCCCCCATCCCTGACGAGGAAAGAGATTGAAAGTGCCGTGCCGGAGGCAACGAGGTACATCATGAACCAATCTCGCGAACTTGGAGAGGACCTCGGTGTGTGGTCGATACCGAATTCCTACTTGAGATGCAAGGTGAGCGAAGAGGAATTGTCACTGCGCTTGTGTACTTTACTAAGAAAGAACTGGGCTGCTCAGGACAAAGCCCAAACCAGAGCGACGTCATTTGTGTCTTGCTAAATGACAAAAAAACAGTACATGTCTAAGGTGCTTCATGACGAGGTCAATCCGCGAGTCATATTGTTTGTTTAAAAATGCACACACCCGAAACCAAGATTGGCCTTGCAAAGTTTCATTCCTTGCGACCCTGGTGGGTCAAGTGTGCACCCCAGAGAGAAGTTTGTGTATATATTGCACAAATTTTAAAGTTTGCATCGGGCTCTTGAAAGCATGAGTGGTAGTGACCTCGACGTCTTGAACTTAAAATTTACATTTGCTCCTTGCTGACCAATGAATGCCAACTTGGTGATAGTGCACGATGCCCCTAGGACGGCCATTTTACATTTGAGTGGCTTGGAGTCCCAGAAAAAGCAGGGGTTTTTGTAGCAGCGTGGGAATGCGGCAGTCTGATAAAAAACAACTTTAGATTGAATGACATTCCTGAACAAACTTCAGACTTTGGTGGGAAGGTGGATTCCTCATAATCGGATCAGGTCAATTCACGGAAAGGCCGTATACACAGAAAAGCGGTGCGAAGAAAAGGGAAGCCTCGTGCTGCATTTCGATTTTGCAAAAAATTGGACCGTTGCTCTTCCTGATGAAGTGCAAGCTTACCACTGGCACAATAAGTAAGTTTCAGTTTTCACATCCGTTCCTACAATAACAAAATCCACACGCAGCTTCAGTGTCATCAGCGACGATGTGTGTCACGACTCCGCCCACGTCGGAGAAATAAGACTGGCTTGATGACAATGGTCCTGTGCACTTGCAAGTGACTTTTGTCAGTGATGGAGCAGCGAGCCACTTCAAGAACAAGTGTCAACTGCACAAGTTAAAAAAATTAGAGTGTCCTGCAGCCAAATG